GAACGCGATACGGTATCGACGACAAATTCTTGGCAACGAATATGGGATTTCAACCGTTCGGGGAAAACGCAGGAATGCTTCTCGAGTCTAATCAAGTACATATATTAGCATTGAATTATGAATCCTTAATACCACAGCGTACGACGAGTCGCAGGTATTGTGAAAACGGGGATGAATGAAGAAAAAACGGTGAGCGTCGAGTGCAACGACTGATATGAATTATTGGCCGAGCGTTTAAAGGAACTTGTCAGCCGGTAAGTAAAATATACAGATAGTAGTATATTTAGTCACGAGAGGCACAAATATTAAGAACTGCGAGATTTATTCCTCATCAGCTGGCAGATATATCGGATTCGCGTGTTTCTAACGCAGATTTACGTTTCGGAATCGCACTGGTATCGGTGAAATTTACACTCTCGTGTAACTTAATATCACGTGCGATGGCGCTTAAATATGCAAACCGCAACTTCCCATCTCGGAAGTCCGACGAACGAAATGGATACTTGAAATTAATTCTTTATCTTTCTCGCGTATATTTGGCTGAGTAATTTGAATTCTATATATATAACTTGTTTAGCCCGACTGTTTTGACGACGCTCGCTTGACACGCAACGAATACGACCTGAGAGTAACGAGATAATTGTTGTATATCGAATAAGGAAAGAATAACAAAACTAAGGTAAATCAACGAAAAATAGTTTTTCTATACTTTATCCTTTTGCAATAACGGAAAATGCAGATGTACATAAACCGTGCAATTTCACAGACATCGCAATTATTCGATGAAAATTGGAAATAGAACGCAGAAACGAGCTGGAAACAACGAGCGAAAAATAATCCTCTTAAGTGAAGTATAACACGTTAACGGACGAATCGCGAATCTGAAATACAAGATATGATTGATAACGTCATAAACTAAGCGCGGTAATTGGTTGTTAAAGATTCTAATTTAGTTCCTTTAGTATTCACTGGGATTCGCGATTCTCAGAGTCGCTCGTAATGTCAGAGCAATGTCAGAGATAACATAAAACATCTCGAATCTAATTACGTTTCTTTTACTTTTTTTCATCGTTCTCGCAGAAATTAAATTTCCCGCCCGCGTTTTCCTTCTCAAAATGATATTTCTCACTCAAAGACAACCGACCTAGTCAATTATCACGAGACCAACGTTTCGTCTGGGAAACATTTGTATTCGATTCAATAAATTCTGAATGCGCGTGAATGTGTGTTAGAAAACTTTTCACAGTATATCGAGAACGTGTAAAATGGCAGATTTTCAAAATAAAACAACAGTCAACCGCAGTAATACTTTATTTAGACGTTAGTTAAGGTCAACATTGTTTCTTGGCACCGAGCTGATAAATAATAGCTCGCTATATAGGATGTCTCGTTAGTATCGCAACAACTCCCATATGGAATTTTAACGTAGACCTTTGACAAATTTAAACGTCATGGCTTGAATAACGAAAGAAGTAAATAAAAAATATATCAAAAAAAATGATTATTTATCATATATTTTGATATGTTTTGGGTGATTTATGTTGGATATGTTTTCATGTTTCAACACCACGTATTGTTGCACTAATATTTAAATCTAAACTTTGCTAAAGTACATAGTTCAGGTGGAATTAAACGAAGTGCATGATTTCGTAACATATTTACTCTTCTGAAACTTAGTTTGCTGGAAACCCGTTAATCCTCTTATCTCTAATCACTAATTATTCGGGACTATAGCTGGCTTAACATTTACTTCCAGAAGTTAGTTGCACAATTTGACTAAAAAGTCTATTATTTATGTATTTAAAATATAATACTGTAGAAACGGAACATCCTGTAAAAGCCGTGCGAATTAATCGCTCGAGGACGATACGGCGAGACAAAGATTTAAGAGAAATTCGTTAATTTTGCGCGAGGAAAAATCGCTAATCTCGTGATTAAGTATTGACTCATCGAACCGAGCGTTCTAATTTTACTTCGGCGTCTTTGCGGAGCATGCAACTAATTATACAGAATCTTGTCGTAGAACAAACGTAATGGAGATAAAGTACGAGACGAGAAAAAGTCATGCACATGAGCTCATTGCTACGAAATTTCTTGCGCCACTGAATTCTATGCAAAAAAAGTCACTGATTCTATGTAAAAACCCGACCAGCTTATTGTCGCATGATCGTGAATAAATAATTCATTCGTGATATCGCGATAAAACGGCTCACAAAGTTTTCTAAAGCGGGGGGTCAAAATATTTACGTACGGGATCGTATAATTGAATTCACATAGCTTCGGTTAGTCGGCGAGTCGTTTGCTCACGGTTGGCAAGATTTATCGTTAGACCGAATCTTGCAAGCAGTTTCGCCTGTAGTTTTCGTAATGCACGCGAGAAAATAACGTGCCAGAATTACACCCGACCCATTCTTACGTCGGTTGCCGGCTTAAGACAGTCGACGTAACTGACAATTAAAGAATACGCGGAATACAGCCGGGTTTATTACGCTACAACGATATTTTATTCGGAGCTTATTATTCAGAGCGAAAAGTAACGTTTATCCGAAACGATGAAATAAAGAGATATATCATCGATAAAAAAAACGTATAAAAAGAAGTTTCAGGAATTTTTATTAATTTTGTTGTATTTTCGTTCAAAATAAAAAAGAACATTTCATTTCGTCTCTCTCACGAAGTAATGTAAATTCTACCTGCGTACAAACGCATTGCGCTATGTTGCGCATGAGTCGAATTTCCCCTGGCAAATGTTTGACAAGAGATTCGTCTTAAGAACTTATTTAATGCTGAAAACAGAACATTGAAGAGATTTCTCGGCGAATTAAGTTTCATTAGTACAAAATAGAAACCATGTTCTGGAATTTTAAGCGAATTTTGTTCGAACGGAAATCTAGTTGAAAATTTAATTGGCGTTTAACGTTAATACTGTTAATTGAACGCCACACGATCGGCGATAGCTTCTGATAGCCTTTAATCAAATTTTCGTTAAAGAAAAGTCGACTCCAAGTTCATCAAGTAATTTGTAGCTGAGATCATGCACGCTACTTCTTAGCTTATACTTGGTTATCTGAGACTAGCGATTGAGCATTTTTTCTCGAAATATGTTTGCCATAATCTCCTCAAATGACCGATGTGTCTAATAAACTGCGACATCAACACTACGCACCAGCATACTTGTAACCTAAGCTATTAACGTAATAAGTCGAGATATCATGTTCAAGGATTGCGATAAAGTATAGTGCGATGAAGTATAGCATGAAACAAGTACATATCACGAAATCATATCCGTTTCTGCGTAAATACGTGTCAAGAACAACCGGAAGGCGATTGTAACTATCATCGAGGTAAATAGAGTAGTATTTCCGGCACGCGACGTAAGTTATGTAATTAATAATTCGCGACTGATTAAGCGTCAGAGTATTCTAAGACTTCCAAATCCGTTCAAGGAAAATATGTTTACAAAGATATGACATAAGTAATAAAGTAGAAAAAGAAAGACACGCGTTGCGTTTGTAACAATCGCATTGCGTTAAAAGTTATATCTCATCGTGCTCGTTAAATTTGCGAAAGTGAGATATGCAAAATAAAATACGAAACAAGTTTCGTATATAATAACGAATGGACTTTATCTGTGCTCGGTGATTAATCGTCCACCTTCCGTATTACGTGAACTCGGTAATAATACGCAAAATTCCACAAATAACGTCTGGTGACAGCGAGTTATTTGCAGATTAGCCGAGGATCGTGAAAGAAAATATCGCGACGGAAGCGAAATACGGAATTAATAGAATAGAATGGGGGTCCGGCGCGATATAATTCGGGTTAATGCTTATGAACGAGATCTAACGCAACGCTGAATGAAAATACGACGAAAAGTCTTCGGCGCGAGCCGCTTTGTTACTCGCGTCCGTCGCGACGACGACAGAACATGCTCGGCAATATTTCGCCAGTTCGGTGAAAATAAAGAGTAATGACAACGCAGAAAATGAAATCCGGTAATGCCACGCTGTCGGCAAGTATTTCACATGCGCGAAATTGAATCCTCCTACACTGTACTCGACGCGAAAGAGCGCAGCCAGGTATTAAAATTCAAGATATCGAAAGGCATTTCTAACATATCTGATAACGCGCCTGCTATTCCCGAACATAACATCTGCTGCTGGGAAATTTTATTCGAACGGTGAAATTCGACGATAACGATATTCCGCGGAATGTGTATTTTGGGAACGAGCGAGCCGGCACGACTGATTGTAATCAACACCGCGTATACCAACAGTATTATTTACATTTACAATGTCTATTGAACAGTAATTTATACCCCATATTTGTCAAGTTCTTACGAAAAAACCTCACATTTTACTTTCGTCTCTCGATCTGTGTTTCGTTTACCTTTATACGTGTTCATGAGCTAAACATTAGCAATATCAGCACGTGTGTTAATACTGCACAAAAGTATTATTACGTAGAGTTAAATATAACTTGGAGAAAATTAAAGTTGCAGATACAAGTGATACAAATGATCCCAAAGAGAAATTCTTTGAGGAGAGGGGAGATTAATCCTTCGGGCAGCACAACGGGCTTCATTGTTGCGTGTACAGTAAACATCGTGACGTTTACCATCAATATCATCGCTACTACCGCGGCATCGTTACATCAACTACCAAAACTTAATACGCACAATACGTAATATCATTCAATATCCCCTCAAGATTGAAGACTCGTGTAATAAGCGTAACATTCCAGCATAACGCGCGCGTCAAAATTAACACACACGATATCAACTTTTTCTCAATATTTCCATGTGAACGTTTCGTCATAATATCTTAAATGTCACCCATGCTTAAAGGATTAATCTCTGCGATCAAGAGATCTCTACGATCTCAAAGCGGACGACGGCACGTCTCGCCGTCTCGCTCGGGAACACCTGTCATCGTCTGCACAACAAGGGCACCCGTCTGGGAGCAGTTTCGAAAATAAGTTAGCGTGGTTCACGGACTCACCGAACATCGCCGGGCCCAGGTGTCACGATGCTCGTGGATATTTTCGACGATGGTCCCGACGCGGGTCGCGTATGAGCCGCATATTCGTCGTTGCACGAGGCGGAAGACGGATCGAAGGCGCGGGTACAACGTGGTGGACCGTCCGCTGGCAGCGGAATCTTTTCTCTTGATGCCCAAACACACGCACACATGCACCCACGCACACAAGCGCACACATACACACACGCGACGACAAACGATGACGATATAGATAAATGGAAATGAAAAAAAAAACGAGGAAGGGGAACGGGATAGACGTAAGCGCGACATTGCCAAAACAAATTCGACAGACGCACACGCGACACACATACATACGCACACACACACACACATACATACATACACATATACACACGTAATACACACGTACGCAATCACGCAGGAAAATACACGTACAACAATAGCAATCACACACCTGACACCTCGCAACGGGGGGGAGGGGGGGACGGTGAATGAGACGGAGAGGAAGAGAGACGTGCGGTTGCACCGTCTTGGCGCGATCGACAGAGAGGGAGATACGTAGGCACACGCACCATGCACACGTCGTAAATGTATACAATGCGGATCTCCGGACGCGGCGCGGCGTCGCGCGTAACGGAGAGGACGCAGCGGAGTCTCTCTCGTCGGTGTGGTAAGCATCGTCGCGTGCGCCAAATATTACGGACGTCAGGCCGGCCGTGACGAGGACACCGGCGTGATCCACGCCGACGGGACGATCGGGTCGCGGTAATACGGTGTACTCGCGGAGCAGCGCGCGCGATAACGGAGCACGATTCTCTCGCGAGGGCTACCTGCTTTATTGCTGACACAAACCGGCCGGGCCGACTGCGGGACGTGAGCTCCGCAGCCGACGCGTTTACACGTCGCCCTACTAACCTATGCGTCGCACGTCGACCGGTCGTCGCGGTTGCTCGAGTTGCGAGTTCAAAACATTTCCGCGACACTGACTTGTGCGGCTATCACGACGGCTGCCATATTGGAATCCCATTCCGCGAGCCACCGATCAGGCGCGTACGAGAGCGACGCCACGCGGAAGCTCGCGCGCCGCCATCTGGAGGCGTGGCGCCAGAACTACCGGCGATGACTGACCGCGGTCGGTCAGTCGCGGGTCGGTAAAGAAAATTGATGCGGTGTGTAAAGGAAGCGGGGAAATTATCGTCGGACGATGATCGTCGATGCGTGTATGTACTCGTGAAATGTTCGGGTAATAATCATAAAATTTGCTCTCAGTTTGCGTTGTAGGCTGCCTTCAAAAATATCGACAGGCAAATTCCCCGTAAGGCTATATCGATCTTTGTATTCTGCGGTCTAAACCTCTCTCTCTCTCTCTCTCTCTCTCTTTGCGCAAATTAAGATTTTATTACGAATATGAGAAATGACTGTTATAGAAATATGATCAAAATATGATAAAATAATTATTGTAATTTGATTCTTAATTTCCCTGACAATTCGTTCTCTTTTCTCTAAAAGAAAGGGGGCATCGGACATTTTATAAGTAAATTTAAATTTGCAAGTGAAAAATATATATACACCCAATTCGTGAAGGTCGTAGAGGACATATTATTTATCACTCACCACCAAGTTTTTTCCCGGCGCTTTTTTTCTAGATCGCAAATATCCACTTTCTACGGCAATTTCGCTACAACGAACACACGACGACGTTTCATCACAGCATACGCGCGAAATTCACTTTCGACATTTCCGACGATATTTCGCGCGCGAAATATTTACGACGACCCGAAAACTCGGAAAGGGTTTCGCCAAACCGCCATTACGTGGGCCCTCACTTTACTCGCCAATCCTGACGATTCGTTCCGCGAGATATTTTCGACAGCTATTTGTCGATATTTTATCGCAATACACGTACTAAAATCACTTTTGTGTTATCTTCCCGACAATATTCGAAGGATGAGACTCTTCCGGCGGCTCGAAAACGCGAAGATCGGCGACTTGAACTTGTTCGTGCGTGCACACTTTGCTCGGCAATCCCGACGATCCGTTGGAATCGGCGGAATATTCACTTTCGACGATTGTTTAACGATACTTCATTACGACACATACGTTAAACTTTCGTCCGGCATTCCCGGCGACGATAAAGCACATGCGAGACTCACCTTAGGCGAATCAAAATCGCGAAGTTGCAGGACAGCTTTAGTATACGTGCCGCCGCGTCGCAACCGTCCCCAACGCATTGAACTTATCGCAGTGAACGCCAGTGATTACGATTCTCGAAGTGCAGATCGCGCAGCACTTCACTCGGTACTTCCGATGAACGTTCCGCAAGATATTTGACTATAACGGCTTTTTATGATATTTCGCTACAACGAACACACGAAACCCTCATTTTCAGCATTCCCCGGCGATTGTTCGCGTGTGAATTCTTATGCTGACGGGTCGAAAAAGTAATGGGAAACAAGTGAAGCTGAAACCATCATAAGCCGTTAAACAAACGATACTTCGCTCGACACTGCTGACGGTCTGTCTCGCGAAATGTTCACTTATCGTGGCTTTTCAACGATGTTTTGCTACGTTTCGTGCGTACGAAAGTTGTTGTCGACATTCTCATCAATAACTTGCGCACAAAGCCCATGTTTGACGGTTTAAAACACGAGAAATACGGAGAGGTTTCGAATGCGACTCCCGCGTCCTACTCCGTTTCGAGGCAGACTGTAGATGGCGCAGCGGTCGCTGACACCGATACTTTCGATACATTGAATTGACCAATCACAAGAGTTCATTTATTTTGAAAGAACCGCACAATACAAAATAAAACATGTCTGACAAATAATCTATAAATTCTATTCAATTATTACATTGTTAACTACTACGTGAAATTAATTTCAAGTTACTACCACTAACTTTTGTTTACATTTAACGAGCAATATAATTCTTCATATTTAGTCTGTTCTTTTTAATCAAACTGGCTGTACTAGTTCAAGAAATTTATATACATATTAAATATATACGTGTACCCTAAATTTTATATCGAAATTAGGATACAGTGCATGCACAATATGAGAGCACAAGGAATGTTGTTTACATTTTACGTCGTAATGTTAGATTCCAAATGTGATAAGAAGTTTCTTTACAAACTTTAAAGTATTATTTGATCTGCTTTTTGCACGAAAAAGCTGTTAAAGTATGTGTGAAAGATTATACAATATTAACAACATACTTCAATGAGCAGGTATAACATTCACATATTTAATGTTTCTTATACATCTATTAATTAATCTCATTTGTTGTGCCTATTAGCGTGTTATATACATATTGCACTTTATGTAGATTACAACATACATAACGATGTATGTGACATTAAATGCATATATTATCATGCTTCTTTAAGCTTAAAAAATTAATTTCACTTAAATTGTAATATAAAATTTATCTTATAAAGCATGTTTTAATTGATAACCATTGTGATTGAAATATACACAATGCGTTTATATTTTTATGAATATTAAACTATTAACTATTAGTTTATTTTTATTAATTTATTATGAATTTAATTTTGTTAATCATTTTAAAACTTATTTCTTTTAGCAAATGAAATAATTGTTAATATTTAAACATAACAAATATTTTTAGATATATTAGATATCTATAAAACTTCAATATTTCCCTTACTTTCATGTATGTTATCAAAATATATAAAGTGTTACTTTATATAGAATACTCTTGTCATATACAATAGTTTTTTTATTATGTTTGCACAGCGATTTTCCTCATTTGCCCTTTTTTTGTGAATTTGTCAAATAAATTCTTCTTTTTCTTCTTCTTTTCGTATATATCGATGGTAGAATCACTGGTTAAATTTAAACTATCTAAGTTATCTAACGATGGTAAATTTGCAAGTTTATCCATAATTAAATGATCATTTTGCTTATTTTGTTTTGTTTTCCAGTTGGCTGTACTTTTAACCCATTTTAACATCTTACTTCTTTTCGTCCCAGAAGAATGTAAAGCTTTTGTGTCATTCATATTTTTGATAACACAGTTTTCAATCTTTTCTTGAGTATTTTTTGACGTTTCTTCTTTTGCTTCTTGACAAACTTGAGGTAAATCGCTACATTTATTCGGCAGAGTATTTGTTAATTCTGTAGTTTTCTGTGTACTGTAATAATATTTAAAGTTATTCATGTTCTTGAAATAATTATAATTCCCATATATATCGAATTAAATAAGAGTTAAATTACCATTTAACACTAGAATTTAGAGCTCGTATAGAATCACGTAACTTGCCCCAGAAGTCATATAGCCCTTTACGATTGTAATCCAAAATAAACATATATTTTAATTGCATCGGCAATTCGCATCTTTTATATAAACAAGGTACGATTTTCCTCTGCTGTTTATCTAAAACACAATAAATTGTTGGAATAAATTCTTCTTAAAATACACATCTTAAAGAAGATGCATAGTAACTGAAAACATACCTATGCTTAAAGCTTGAGCATAGTTTAAGAAAAATTTGTTTGCAGCACTTATTAAGAAACTAGGTGATATTATAATCAATACTCTATTGCATCGTTCATTTATTATCTTCATTACTGCTTCGTGTTCGAATGTTATACCCGCAACCAGATCTCGATCCTTTAAACATAACTGAAAAAAAAACGATATAATTACTTTTAATAAAATCTCTATATGATAGAATCATACATTATATGTGCATGTAATACCTTTAATTGATATTCTGTTTCAAGTTTCTCTACCATTTTGCTTGCAAAACTGACATCTTCATCCGCATATAAAAGAAATGCATCATAATATTGAGTTTCTAAACCTTCTTTCAATCTATGAACATCACCTAAAAAGAAATAATAGTTGTCATATAATACCATCAGTAATACAACAATATAATTTCAGCTGAACTAATATTAATTGTTTAAGCCAAACCTTGCGTAAGTATTTCTTTATCAACATTCTGCTCTACCATATCTGCTGATATTTGAGCTCTTTGTTTTTCCTCCAAATATTTTACAGCATCCTTTTCTATATAAGTAAATCTCTTATTGTTATAACTTGGAATTATAAATTTATATACCTTTATCAATTTCTATGAATAACAAAAAGTGCGTAAAAATGTTTACTAATATGTACCAAACATGTCTTCAATATCATCAATAATGTCCCATCTGCTTATCTGTTCCATCATCAAGTAAAAGTCCTTTATTGTAATATTTTTTTCTTTTTGCTCCAATATCGTCAACATGTATATTGTTGGATTAGAATGTGACGAAAGCAGTGTCATAACTTCAGCACTAAGCTCTAGCAAATATGCCAAGCCTCTCCAATCCCTAATATATTTACAAATAAGAATTAGTCAATGCGTTTTATATTTTTGGAGATATGTAAGATATCCATATAAGATATAAAAAGACAGAGATAAAAAATAATGTATATCCATTATATAAATATCCCAAATGTTCACCTTGGCAAACCATTTTCAGATGGTAAGACTTTTGTAGGGTTTAAGAGCGTTGAGATAACTTGTTTGCTCCCAACAGAGATTGCTACAAGTGGCACAGTTGACAAATCCATTGTCATTCAATACGACGACGATTATAAGATTCACAAAACAGACATTTGATCGAGAGTAAGTGAGTTTCGAAGTAGTTTGAGCTGAGTCACTGATCCGCTTGATTTCATCTGCGAATGTGATAAACCAGGAAAAACATTGTCTTATAATAACCTCAACTCAACCGACTCATATGTCACGACAATACCACACTTTGTTACGACGCACGTGACAATATAACGCCATTCATAGATAGTTCCGACCTGTTGATGAATAGATCTGATTCTAAATTTTATTTGCTCACATATATATAACGTTACTTCAACTTAAGGATAAGAAAGGGGTACATCTTGCACTAAGTATAAGTTTACCTATCACTCTTTTTTAAAAGGATAAAAAGACAATTGGCTAATGTATGAATCATATTTTGTCTTTTGGCCACTCGAATAGAAAATTTAAGCCTCTAACGCAATATTCATATGCGACATTCTAACATCCAATAAAAAAACGTGCTTTCTAGCGCGCACGCGACCTTAACGAGTGATACTTTCATCTCTAGAAAATAAACTCTTCTATTGGATATTGGATGGCAAAGTTGCGTTAGTCACATTTAGCAGAATGTTTATTTAGCAACTATTGGAAGCTTTTGAGCTGAGATTGTTATTCCTTTAGATCTAAAGGAATAATGCAATCTTAGCGCAGAAAACTTCTAACAGATGTAAAATAAACTCGTTCTGCCGAACGAGGCCATTTAATTGACCAATCAGGATCAAAATAGCAAAGACTTTTTTATCACGATTGGTTAGTTAAATGCTATTTTATGTTTCTCTACCTGTCGAGTAGGGTTTTGGAACGCAGCCCAAACATTATATGCAATGTGAACTTTCACTTACTCGTAAACGATTATTTACACAATGTTTTAAGCAATATGTCATGAGCAGCGATAAAGAACATTTTTGTGATATTTACATATTAAGATTTTTGCCATATAAATATTAAAATATTAAAATATCACTTTCTTAGAATTCACTTGCAAAAAGTATTAAATTTATAATGCTGTAGATTGTTTACTAAGAATGGCAGCTTTAATGAAGAAACGAGTGCTAGCTGAATTTACTCAAAGTCAGGTAAATTAAGATTACTATCGTGCAGAATTCGCTCTATCTAAAGTAGCTAAGTTTTGTCAACTGCAAAATTTTTCTAGGTTATTAATGAACCACCAACTAAACGGTTGAGGACGCTCAGGTTATCGTCAACAACCAGTACAAAAAATGGTACAGAAAGCAGTTCGGCGCTGGCTTACATAGAGTGCCTTGAGAAATGCAAAAGTGGAAATGATGCTTTGCAGTTGCTTGTTCGTATCTCTGACGCTATAGCATATATAGCATCTGAAGATGTTCCTATAGCTGTAAAAAAGCTAGCAGAAAGATTCGCTGTTGAGAATGAAGCCGCAGTTAGGGCAAAGATTTTTTGGGTATTCGCTGAATTAGGAGAAGTGACACCTGACATAGCGGAAAAGGCAAAAATTATTAATGAGACAGTAGAACTTTTGAGAAATGAGGAATCACATAGAGTAAAAAGTCAGGGATTAGCAACACTTTTAAAGCTAGGGGATTATCAAAGGTATGTATATATTTCATATATTATTGCATCTTGTATATTTATTCTTAATAGTTTTACTTTTCATAAAATAATTCTCATATATATTTACAACTGTGATATTTGCTTGATTCAGATATGGACATTTTTTTCTATTAATGTGATAATAATGTAAATATTTTGTATACAGAACACTGGTATTGAAAATTGCACAAGAACATCTGCCTGATCCATGGCATGGTGTTCAAACACGATGCCTTTCCATAATTGGACGTTACCTCACAGCAAATGCTGTCGAGGATACCTTGGCATTAATTGGCAATTATGCCCGTTCTCAAGATCCAAGAGTACGTGCTCAGGCTTTTAAAACCATGGCAGAATTACATTCCCACAGAGGTTACAGGCTACCTGCAAGTTTCTTTAGAGAAGCTTGTGCAGCTCTTCGTGATGACTATGAAATTGTACGCCGAGCTGTACTGAAACTTATTTGGCTGTTAGGCAGAGAGTATCCAGAAAAGTCAGTAGCATGTTTATAAATGATATATTTTACAGTCAATTTTTTACTATATGCTCTTCTTTTTGTCTACAGTATCATCGTTGGCTTTGACGGGGAGGACATACGTATGATAGACTGCGCTTTTTCACAAATTTGTAGTCTCATGGGTGACTTATCGCCACGTGTGAGAGCTTCGGCGATGTCTCTTTTAGGAGCGATGAAGAATGTATCACGTCGTTACATAGAACAAGCCTTGGACAAGAAACAGAAAATAGTCGAGGCAGACAGACCTGAAGTTGAAGAAAAAAGTGGATCTTGCGGAGCATTTATTCACGGTTTAGAAGATGAATTCTTGGAGGTATAAGTTTATCCATCGTAACACGTGTAGCGACAATTATTTTAGAATACGTTCTATCAATCCGTCAAATTGATATTATCGTGTCCCAACGATTTATGATCAAAAATTACTCACAGCTGAATTTCATTGTATTTGTCCTCCGCGTCGGTTATTTCCTACAATTCTTATTTCAGGTGAGAACAGCGGCGGTTGAAGCGCTCTGCACGCTGTCGTTAGAACAGCCGAGTATATCTAGAATTTCATTAGACTTCATGGTGGACATGTTCAATGATGAGATTCAAGACGTTAGATTAAGAGCCATCGAATCTTTGAGAAAAATGTCAGCCAGCGTGACACTTCAAGAGGACCAATTGGAGACAATCTTGGGCGCACTGGAAGATTTTTCAGGAGAAGTGAGAGAAGGGCTGCACGCGATGCTGGCCGCTAGTCATCTCGCCACTACAAATTGCCTCTACATGTGCGTCAATCGTTTGCTGGATAATTTGACTCGTTATCCTCAGGACAGGGAAAGCATCAGGAGCTGTTTGGCGGCGTTGGGCGCGTCACACCCGTACTTAACATTGCCTTTAGTACCGCATCTTCTTAATCGACATCCCTTCTTCGATACGTCCGAGCCGGATGTCGACGAACCGTCCTGTATCCTTTGAGAACTTCTCAATGCGTGAATGTCATACATCTCAATCTTCGAAGTTACATTCCTGAACTTATTGCAACAGATGCCAGCGTACTAGTAATGATATTCAACGCTGCGCTGCACTGTCCTAGCATGCACGCCCTTTTCACAGAGCACGCATCTAAGCATTATCACTATTTGCGCGACACGATGCCGCATTTGGTCCCGCGATTGCGTCCAGCACTTACGAACAGCGGAGGAGACAAGACGGAAGATATGGATGTCGAGGAGAACAGGGATCAGCGCGGCCGAGAATTCTTGGAGAAAATGGTAGCTGGGATCGAGAACGCTAGACCAGGCGGCAAGGTCCATACGCAACTTTTAGAAGCTGCCGCCATCGATCTTGACCGTTTGGCAGAGATGGATCATCACATGGAGGGTGCGGCACGTTTCACCGCCCTGTACATTCGATGCTTGTTATTGTTGAAGTCTATGCTCAAGGAATTCTCCATGTCGACGATGACGATGTCGGCGAGTCCCGTGCCGAATAACAGCAACAACGTTTTCGTCCTTCTTCAGAATGCGCAAAAGTACGTTGTTAGTTAACTTAGATAATTCCTTAGTTATCTCTTGCAAAAGTGTTGGGAAAAATGAGTGCGCATATTTAACGCTAATCCGTAGAAAAAAAATGGAAGAAAATCTGGGTAGTACTTGACAGTTGTATAGGCAGAAATATATAAGAAATCGGTACTTTCTTTTCTAGATTGCAACGCTTGTTTAGTGGATTAAGCGAGAATGAAGTGATATTGGCTAACGACATGTGGCTGAAGGCACTCGCTATGGAATTGATCAGAGTAACCAAGAGTGCGACTGGTAGCGCGTTACCACTGACCCGTCATTTCCTGTCGGAAGCTGACGCTCTGCCTCAGGATACGTCGAGATTACCGCCGTTCTCCCGAGCTCTGGTGTTGAAGATACCGAATCTGCCGGACGTGAAGCCCGGGTCTTTGATGCAGTTGTTGGTACAATTACTTTTGGAACCAGTAGTGCGGGGAGAGGAACGACTGCCAAAGCCGTCGGCGTCGACGCGTTTATGTCGAGCAATCATCGAGGAGCCGAGGGGCGACGCCGACGCCGCGTTGAAGTTTACAGGTGGCCTCTTATTGGGCATCCCGTTGAATGCCAAGATACTGAATCTACGCGATCCCGCTACTTTGCGGATTAAGCTGAAGCACCCGGATCAACAGGTGCAGCTATTATTGCCGCGACAGTCGGACCTGCGGCTGCAGCACGCCGATCAGAAGGACTACAGATTGAGAACGACGGTTCTTTTGTCACATCAAGTGTGGATGGAGGCTTGCAACGTGGAAATCTCCTTAGCGTTGGTGATGCCATCTTCGGTTTGTACGCACTCGCCTTTGGACGATCCTTGTGTAATTGATCTTTGTAAGCCTACCAAAGTATCAATCGCGCCAAAAGCCATTAAAAGAGGCATATGATTGTTGTATTATAATTATGTTATTGTACGATACTTACATGTGTAATTTTCTTTTCCGATTGGTTGATTGGTACGTGTCCTTATGAGAATTTAGTACTTTGTATATTGTATGCGTATTGTACTGATTGAAACGAATTTAAAATAATTTGAAACAAACAAGAAAAAAAAAACAGTTAAGGTTTGTTTCCGACGAAATGCTTGAAGCCGAGACGAAACTGTGAAAATATTCGCTGCAATATCAATCGAGAGATCGGGTTATTTTTATGTGCGACTTGGATGAAAATATTTTATTATAAAACCTAGATCTATCTTAATCAAGTGTACAACAGTACAAGAGACGTAACAGAGCTCAATTTTTGTCATAAAAAGGTCATACTTCTCAATATAAAACAATATGCACGCGTGATTGTAATCGAATTATTATTCTTGGCTCCTATTCAACGAACGATGTATGACAGTTTTCAAGATAAACCTGCCGCAACCATGCCTTATTCACCTCCAACTGGAGAACGAACTGCTGCTAAAATGAAACGATAATGATTAACCTAACCACGCTAAACCGCATTGAAATTGTTTCGAGATGTCAAGACGCTTCATTGTAGCGTCGACTCGATGACGAATTCGCAAAAGCACGAAAATTACGTACGCAGTGAACGCTGGCTTCTCTGCTTCTGGACTCTTCTGGGCTAAACTGCCGAAGCTAAGACCACCCGATTGACTGGCTAAAGTTTCGAATGTACTGCTGCCTGCTACTTCTCCAAACACTTTCGGCATGACATTCTCCATCGTAGGGCCACCTTGCATGGGAGATGCGCCTCCAAATCCTGCGTTCGTAACATTTCTTTCTCATTATAGATAACCAACGGTAGACACGAGATGGACTTTTCATACGGAATAAAGAAGCGCGCTCACGCACACACTTGATATAGAAATAATATGACACGAGTCACTTATTGGAACAAATTACCCATGCCAGGAGACTCGAACGTAGGAGGCGAGCCGAAGGCACTTCCAAAGACTGGTTTCGACGCGCCGAACATCGAAGGTGACCCAAACATCGGTTTGGCGCCAAAAGCGGGAGCTTGTCCAAAAACAGGTTGACTACCGAGCGCAGGTTGCTGCGTCCCCACTCCCATCGGGGACGTATTGGTCGCAGGACTCTTAAAGACGTTCGTGCTCGCAGAGGAAGCGGCCGTCGGCGACGCGTTGCTGGTCGCATTGCCAAACGGAGAAGCGGCTGCCGCCGCGTTCGTCGCACCACCAAATATACCGGTACCGGCTTTCGAAGCATTGCTATCGAAGAGAGACACCGACGGGGCGGCCGTGCCGAACACCGTCGTGTTACCCCCGAATATGTTCCCGCCGGTGGAAGGCAGCGGGGCCGAGCCGAAGATGGAATTCATACCGCTGCCGCCGCCGAATATGGGAGTATTGGAAGATGTGGCGGGCATGTTGGAGAACACAGAGCCCGAGGGGTTGCTGAACGGTGTGGACGCGGGGCTGATTATGCTCTTCCCGAAGGCGTTCGCCGTCGACGCGGGGGTCGTTTGAACGCTCGGAGTTCCGAACTGAGCGTTCGACGGCGCCGGGGACGCTATCGGGCTCTTGCCGAATGCTGGCGTGATCGAAGCCGCCGTCGCCACCGTCGTCGTCGTCGTCGTCGTCGTCGTCGTCGGGATACCGAATGAGATCGGAGACTTCGCCGCTGAGGTATTGCCGGCGGTGATGCCAAAATTCGTAGCCGGTATACTGGTAGCGGGCTCACCGAAGATCGGTTTGCCCAAAGAGCTCTGGAAAGGAGACACACTGCTGCTCACGGTCGTCACCGAAGAGCTGGTGGTGGCACCTCCGGTGGGCATGTTCGGGAATCCGCTGAATACCGATTCAGCGGTGGGCGCTGAAGTTGACACGCCGAAGGTCGGCGCGATCGACGGGAAAGCGGCCGCGCCGAAGGTGGTGGTGGTGGCGGGCGGCGGTGTCGTCGGCGTTTCCGCGACCGTGGCCATATTCTTCACCAGAGTCTGGCCGCCGAATATCGACGCAGTGGGTAAGGAGGTCGGAGCTGCCACGCCGAAAGTTGGCGATCTCACTTCGGGCGTCGTGACCGCTTGAATAGTGACCGAATCGGGCACCGGCGTCTCCGTCGGTTTCGAGGCGACACTCGCGTTCGCTAGGCTGATGGTGAGTTTACCGATGGTCACGTTGGACGGAGCAACGGCGGTCGTTACGAAAGGCTGAGTCGCAGCAACGGCCGGCGCGGCGAAGCTCATGGTGGCCGCGATCGTATTCACCTTCCCATCGGCGCCAACGCTCGGGAGACTCGTCTGCTGAAGATTCAGCGAGCTCGATGCACCCAAGGACAAGGTCGCTAATTCTATCGACGCCGGCTGCATCGTCGGCTGCATCGTCGGCTGCACCATCGACTGCACCATCGGCTGCATCGTCTGCTGCATCGTTGACTGCGCCGCTATTACGGACGATTCCACGGTGGGAGTATGCGGGGGCTTTGAATAAGTGAAGGACATCATCGCGTCGAGCGGGGTCGCGGGGGACGATTTGGCGGCGGACGGAACCGCGTTGGGCGTGGCGAAGCTGAACGTAGCGGCTGCGTCCGTTTTCACAGCCGGCGTCGCGGACAACGACGGTAGGCTACGAGCGATCCCGTCGGTCTTCGGTAACGTATATTCCGTCGACAGCACGTCCTTCAGCAGGCCGGTCGAGAACAGAGCGGATTCCGGCGCCTTAGGGACGACGATGTCGCTGCTCGACGGAACCGTCGATTCTTTGCTGTTTCTGGCAGTTACGTCCATGCCGGGCGACTTCGAGAAGAAGATATCTTGAGATTTGGTCGCAGGTGTGCCGAAGGTGATAGACGGGAAGTTCACGTTGAGGTCTTGTTTTGGCTTAGGCTGGCTCATCGTGGGAGCTGTTGGTATGATTGGCTTCTTCTCCGTCGGCTTGACGGCCATCGCAGCGGGGAAGGACACGGCGGCGGAAGCGGGCTTCTGCTGCGCTTTGTTCTGCATAACGCCGTTCGCGTCGGACGTGCCGATCCTGGCGACGATACTGTTCAACGAGGCCAACGGATTGCTTTGCGTCTTAGCTTTCTCGGCCATCTGCCTGTTCACGACACTCGGTTTGCTCACAATCGGTGGCTCGATCTTGGTCTTGGTTTCCGGAGGCGTCGCAGGACTGACGGACGCCAGGGAAGACAATGTGGCCTTCAAGCGATCTTGGACCGGTGACGGGTTCACCGACTTGATGATCCTCGGGCTGGAATTGGTGAGCAACGCCCGCAGCTTCATCTGCTTCTCGTACGTGAAGCTCAGAGTCTTCGAGGCGATACTTTGGCAATGGGCGTCTATCGCGTCGGTCCTCCCTTGAATCATCGACATGGGCGCCCTCGGTAAACTAATGTGCAGGCTCGACATCGAACGGTTGAGCCTGGACACATCCTTGGTCGTGCACGCCGCCGAGTAACCGAGGGACCTCCACCTCCGCGAGATCTGCTCGAGCCTCTCCTTCTCCTTCGCGATGATCTTGCCGTGCAGCAGGAGATTCTGATAGACGAACTCCATGCTGGGTATCTTCATCTTCGTCATTTCCTGCGCATTGCGCTCCAACCACTCCAGATCCAAGATCTTGCTTACTTGATTCAGCTGCGTCTGTGTGTAGTAGAACGCTCGTTGAAGGCTCGCTATCTTGTTCTCGCCGCAGTTCCTGCTGCTCACGCTGGTGCTGCTCGTGTTCTTCGACTTGGTCTCCTCGATCCACGCGAACGACTGCAGAAGGAGAGTCTTCAAGACCGTTATTTCATTGGACAAACTGTTCGTCTTCTCCTTCAGTTCCTCCGCGAACGGTTCCATGGCATTGAACATTTTCCCGAGCTGTATCCTCTCTTCGTCCGTACCGCATTCCCACACCTGCGACTCCAGCTTGCCCCGCCACTCTTTCTCGAACAACGCTACCTCCTGCAGGTAAGCTCGCATCCGTACATTGTCGTCTATGGAGGCTCTCTGTTCCACTATTTGCGGCGAGCTCGCCTCCTTGTCCTGTGCCGCTAACTTCGCCTCCGTCTTCGTAGGCTCGGCCGCCGGCGTTTCCTTCGCTGCGAGCGGTTTATTAGCAATCCCGGTCACAGGCGCGACCGCTTTTCCCTCCGGCGGCGGTCTCGGCTGTTCCGTCGGTTGTACGGGCGGTTGTTGTTGCTGTTGTTGAAAGAATCCCGCCGCTTTCAGCGAGTCGCCGAATATATTCGTTATCGGGGCGGCCTTGGCGCGTTCCGGCACCTCCGGTTGCTTTGGACGCGGCGTGCTGGTCACCACGGTGTTCATATTGAACGACATCTCCGCGGGAAAAGCACCGGTGGGAGGCTGTGGCGGAGCCTGCGGAACGACGACGATCTCTGTGGGGGGTGAATTGACGACAGGACAATTGGGCGCTAAATTAACCATGTGGAAGCTGCACAACTTTCCGGAAGTTCCAAGGATATGCAAGATCGGGACCGGGTGCGGCAACGTCGCCTCCGTGCCCCACGCTAACTTGCTGGTCGGAGACTTGTCCACAGCCAGACCAACGGGGAAGATCTCCGTGGTCCTCATCAGAGGCAACTGAGCTCTGCCGTTGTCCACTAATTGCCACTGATTCCAGTTAGCGCCTCCGTCCGTCGTGCCTAACACGGCTATCTCGCTGCTGTTGCTGCTACCTGCTACGATAAGTCCCCATTCTGGCACGTGCTCAAAATAATAACGATAAACGCTCTGCTCCCCGTCGGCATCGGGAATCCCGTAAGTGATATCCTCGTAGCACGTGAACGTAGCGTTCGCCTCCCCCTTTGGCGCGTCGACGATGAGAACGTTGACGAGCCGCTCGTTGCTCAGATATGCCGCACAAAATTGATAATTACTGATCCACAGGATACTGATCACCTCACCGACGGGCGGTGAGGGGCCCGCAATTGTCCTAGCAATTTTCAGGTCGGGCTTCAGTTGTATGATGTCTCCGTTCTTGCAGCCTACAGCTATTTGCTTGCCCTTAGGACTCCAGGCTGCGCACAGAACTTGCAGCTCATTTGATGCCTTTGATTGCACGATTAATTTCGACATCGGCTTGTCTTTGTGCTCTTCCTTCAACTGGTAGCTACTAATGGTGTAGTCACTACTGACAATACAGAGCACCATGGATACAGTAGGATTCCATCGTATATCTGTTACGTAACTGTCCATATTGTTTGGTCCTATTTCAAATAACAGACAGAGACTCTGAAAGAGGTGTGTTTATTAATAATGGAGTACTCTAGGATCTTTACGATACTAAGTATTGAAGTATTATATTCTCATGATTTCAGCGGAAAGTAAGCTATGTGCGTACGTTTCTAGCTAGTGAGTAGGCAGCATATATCAATATTGTAGGCTTCATTGCTATGGCTATAGCAACATATCTATAATCACAATTAATTGCAATTTTCGATATAATGCCTGGCAATTGGAGTTCTGTCTTCCATCCTGCATTGTTCTCCTCTGCGGGCTTCAACACAGTAATCTTGTCGTTGTGTCCTATATAAAGCAATCCTCGTTTCTTGTCCGCTACAAGAAGGCTAGAAGCAGCAGGTATTTGTGAGAATCCATCAAATATTTGAGATGTACTTGACTCTTTGAATAGAAACTCCTGAAAGGGTAACATTAATGATTAAAGAAAGCTGAATAATTGTACATTACTAAGAACGTGCCAATGACATTTCTGTTACAGAGAATTGATACAAGGACAAACAATATTCCAGTTACCACATAATTTGATATACAATCAGATAGATCTTGTGTATCAATCGGAGGAAACAATAATTCTATATATTTTACTACTTCTTCACATATATTTCACTTTTCTGTGACATTTACAAGAAACTCTACTACCTTACCGAGCACAGTTTTATATAATAAATATTACAATTTAATAACACGCAATACCTGCACATATATTGGATCTGACGCTGCCTTCATTTCTGTTTCACGATTCCTCTTAATAAATAGTAACAGTAATAAATAAGATGGGAATACGTCCACCTGCGAGATACGTTCCAAACAAAATTTTAACCGAGTGCTCTAACCGACACTAACCACAACCCTCATGATAGCACGTTGCGACGCTTCGTTATCAACTCGCTTCGCGGTCAAACATAAAACAGCAGGTGGAAGTGAAACGAATGTGTGACTGGCTGACTACACTTCGTCGAACGCGATACCGACTAACCACTCGAAAATAACCGTCTGACCAGCCGTTGAGACGTAATATAACCTCCATTTGTCGGTAGCCTCGACATTTTTCACTGGTTCCGAAATCCCCGCTACGAGCCGCCACTTCTGTTTCTGCGAGGTCGTAGCACGACTCAACGACTGTGCGGGCGGAATTTGTATTTTTTAAGTAGCGAGTACGCACGCATTCGGCGATATCGAGTATCGCTCACGTGATGCGATCGGTTGTTAAGTTTGACCTTGCATCTTTTGCACCGGATGTTTAAGTAAAAAGATACGAATAAAGTCTGGTATAATATGTCGCTATTTCTACCTCCGATGTGTTAAAAAATAAGTATGTAGTAATGTTGGGTAAAACGGTGTTCGTTACAGTCGGGACGACAAAATTCGATGATCTTGTAAATACCGTGTTAAATCGTGCAGTTCTAGAGGTAACGCATAATTTGAACGTTGTTTAACTGAATTTTTCTCCCTCGTATTGTGTCGATTCATCAATATCACGTTGCGTAATGTATTTGTCAGAGCGTGCTATAATTATCGTTGCAATTTTAGGCTCTGTCAGCACGTGATTACAGACGTCTGATTTTGCAAACTGGCAACAGCAGCATTGAACCAGATTGCAGCGCACGTTGCGGTTTTCACAGCATAGAAAGCTTTAAATTGAGCCCATCCATCGGAAAATACATGCGATCAGCTGATCTCGTGATAAGTCACGCTGGTGCAGGCAGCGTACTGGAAGCTTTGGAAAATGGCAAACACCTGATTGTAGTTATCAATGATCTTCTTATGGACAATCATCAAGTAGAATTGGCAGAACAACTGCATAAGGATGAACATTTATACTACTGTACCTGTCCAGATCTATCACGCACTGTACAAACGATGGATTTGACAAAGTTAAAGCCATTTGTCAATAACAAAAGTGTAAATATAGCTAATTTTATCGATAAGATAATGGGATTTAGGTGATGATGTTGGAGTAGTTTTGTTTTTCAACACAGCATGAAAAGATTTGTTGATTTGTAACTGTCTTACAAAAGTCTAGTTGTGTGTGGGAACAAGCAGCAATATTTATATATATTTCAATTTTTAACATGTTTTACAGTACGGAGATATATATATATTCCATAGAATCTCATGTTAATTATAATATATATGCTTGATTTACAGTAATAGTACATTATGTTTGAACAACCATTCTTTAAAACTATAGTTAAATATTATAGAAAAATTTATAATTTTGCATCAGTGACAGATCAATGGCAGTTGACGTTTTTTTGGATAATTTATAAATTATTATTGGACACTTGTCACTATATTAACATAACAGCTGACTCTGCAAAAGTATTATAACTATGCTTGTTTGAAATAAACCCAGTTCTTTAAAAAATATAAGTTATTTTCCATATACTGATTTTAAGCCTTAACAATAACAGCATTGATCGATGTCCTATGAAAACAGTCATTATTGGTGATAGAAATTTCCAACGTTTCAGTATGTTATGCTACTTCTGCGAGTTATTTTGCCGCACGACTTGCCGCAATACTTTCAATTGATTTCATGAAGATACACGGACACGAAAGAGACTACACGGAATTGTAGCAATATGTGTTTCAAATTATTGAACCAAACCCAACCGTGTCATTACCTTCAGAAGCTCATTGCCCATTTGCGCAGGACTCCTTGTTACTATCACACCAGCCTAACGACAAAATTCACTTAACACCGTTCGACTTTAAGAATTACATTACAAGCGCAATAATGCCTAATATGGATGCATAATTTAGGAGACACTACTTTACCTTTTCGAGTGCATTAATTTTATCTTGCGCGCCACCTTTTCCTCCGGAGATTATGGCGCCAGCGTGACCCATTCTTCGGCCAGGTGGTGCGGTAAGACCAGCAATAAATGATACTACAGGTTTAATTTTGGCACCCTATGCATAAAACACACATCGTAAAAATACATTCAAGCAAAGTGCGACATATCGATCATATAATGGACTCCAGGAAGAGAACAAGGTAGGATTTATCGGACAAAGATAGGCTGAAATTCGGGTATTGAAAACAGGAACCAACAGTGTTATGCTCGATGAGGTATTCTGCTGCCAGTTCTTCCGCGCTACCACCGATTTCTCCTATCATAATGATACCATCACATTCTGGATCCGTGAGAAATATGTCTAAACAGTCGATAAAATCAGTACCATTAAATGGATCACCTCCGATACCAACACATAACGTTTGCCCAAGTCCAGCCTTAAAATGAAACAAAATATCGCTGTAGTATATTTAATTTACATGTTTCAGCAGGTGAACGCGTAAATGTAATTATTAAAGTAAACTTACAAGCGTCGTTTGATTCACAGCCTCGTAAGTTAAAGTTCCCGATCTTGAGACTATACCGATCTTCCCTTTTTGGTGTATATGACCTGGCATGATACCAATTTTACACTGCAAAATTAAACACAGAATAAATAGTATTCTCAATTAATTTGAAAATGATTGAAATTATTTCGGTACATACTTGTTCAGGTGCTATTATCCCAGGACAATTTGGGCCAATTAAACGGGATTTATTTTGTTCAAGTAAACGCCTTTTCACTTTGACCATGTCATGTTGAGGTATACCTTCTGTAATGCAAACAATTAATGGCATTTCAGCATCCATAGCTTCTAAGATGGCTGATGCTGCACCTGGAGGAGGCACATAAATGACTGTTGCCGTAGCTCCAGTTACATCCTTTGCCTGTAAGAGATATAAATTTAGACACTGCAATAGATAAACAAATAAATAAATATTATGAAGGGACAGTAACCTCCTTAACTGACTTGAATACTGATTTCCCAAGATGTTGTGTGCCTGCTTTCTTTGGATTAACTCCACCCACTATCTTTGTACCATAATCAAGAGCTTGCCGAGAATGAAAAGTTCCTTGCTTCCCAGTAAACCCTTGGCATATCACTTTGGTATTTGCATCAATTTTTAAATTTTTCCTAGTTTCTATATAATTAAATCTCACTTGGGACCGCAATAAATTTCCACAATTCCTAACTGAAACATTATAAAAGATAATTATATCATGTAAATGTTAGAAATATATAAGTCACTAAATATATTGTAACCGCATTAGTAGTTCAAACTAAGTCACATTTGTCAATTAAAAATATTCTAAAAATACATGACTTGATATATAGATAAATACATGAATGTAGACTAAAATGCAAGATAACCAATATATTTAGTAATATTTAGATATATACAGATACATAGGGAACAAATTCAAGTATACTTGTTGTCCTGTTATTGTTAACAGCAATATTAAATTTCAAGGTTTCTGGATCAAGGACCATTTGGTGCAAATTACTTCAATATAATCACTAACATATGTACAGTAAAATAAAATGACAGGGGAAAACATTATTTAAAATAAAGACAATGTGAAGCCTGCGTTATTGTAAGAAATACTTATAAGAAAGAATGGAATGAGAGAGATCAATGTACATGAAAGAGATAGTGCGGGGGAATTAGCAGGGAGGGTCGTGGTCATTACGGGGAAGAACAAATCATTCAATTGCTCAGCGTGCGATGTACGATAACGCTTATGCGATGCTGCGTATCATTCTTAATTGACAAAACGCGCATTTTCCTTTCGTAGAGAAGCACGACCGATTATGTCCTTTCTTACATAATGAAATGTTATCATAAATGCACGCTGTCAGGCTTATTTTTAGTCCGTCAGGTGGGTCCCGCGCATGGCGTAGCCGAGATGAAAAAAACCACGGATTGCCGTTCAAACGTGCAAAAGTCGAAGGTGTATTTACGGAGATCACGGCGTGAGCACATCGTATCGTATATACCCACCTGTAAATTTTGAAAACGTTCTGGCAGCAATAGCCATCTTCTAGTTGATCCTGTTCGCTGAAGAAGCTATGTTGAAAGTCAAATTAATACAGTATCACCATTAAAAGTATTAACTGGCGCAGTGTGACAAAAAAGTCAAGTCCAGCAAGGGGGCACAGACAGCCAGCTAACGACCAACAGTTATTCCATGAACTGGCATAGCTTAGTCCACGAACTGACGGAAAAGTAGAACCGACGACTGCACTTCGGTGACCTCACGCGATTGGCCGTGCACGTTAGACTTTGCTTCGAGTCCACCGGGGCGGATCATCTGATTCGTCGTCGATGCAAGTCACTTTGACGAATCGTTTTACGGGCCGATCGTTATCTCAAAACGAGGGTAAAAGTGAGCGAATTTATTTGGAATATTTATAATTTCATTGGTTGACACCTAGTGAATTATTGCTCACTCGTAATTCTCGATTCGTTTCGTAGTCCACAATTGTCTCCTTGGCTCGTCGTCGATGTGAACTCACTGCTTTTTGATACGAGGAGGGGTGTTGGGAAGGTAGCGTGCTACGTTGCCGACGCGAAACCCCCTAAAAATGAGCGTAGTTAACGAAAGGTACGATTGATGGTATCGCAGTTGCCAAATGTGTTTCGCCAAAGAGAGAGGGTCTACATAAATTCTTTTCGATTTCATTATCATTTCTTTTATTACTCTGACATAAGGATTTAATTATATCCACATTTTTCCATGGATCGGAATTCAATCAAATTCGCAGTGTCCTGGTTCCGAAGGTAATATCGGCGCGCATGGAAAGTATGGTATAAGTGACAGCGGTGTCACGAGAAATAAATCTGATAAAAATGACGTGGTGAAGATACGCTTATCGTTTGACGAGAGAGCGTCGAGGGAGTTACAAGGTAAATGCACTTTCGGGGCACGGATTATTCCATCGCCGGTATTGATCCAAGATTTTATCACGGCAGAGTATATAGTTAGATCTCAGGGATATGCCTAAAATGTCATTATCGTCGGTAGTATCGTGCAAGGTTTTTCCGTCTTGTAATTTGATAGGGTTCACGGGAACGCTGCGCGTAACGCACAAACATTGCCGTTGAGAGTGGAAAATTTTCAATATCGAGGCCGAGTCTTGCTAACGATCATAGCTATTGCAGATCGAAGATACACGGTTCCGAAAGATCTATTTTACTGCCTTAAATTTAAAGTTGTATGCGTTATGCCGTAAAAGTTTATCTCGTTACAAAGAGTAAAGATACGTCGGCATTAGTCATCGCGATACTTAAGAGTGCTTTAGCTTTAACCTTACGGAGGTATTTTCACGGTTATCAAGATTATTCCTAATATGTTGTAACATGACGAAGAAATAGAATGGAGGAGAGCACAAGTCCGGAAAACGTTTGGCGCAAAGGCAAGCCCGAGGAGCAAAGCGAACTATTCCATGGGGAATCCACGACTGCATCTGTAGATGCTAATTCTACATCGTTAGCTGATATATTTGATACAGCATTTACCTCAACGGTTGATCCATCTCCGCAATCTCGATTTCCTTCAGGTATACACGAGGAATATAACCTTTTATCACATCATCTTATATCTAAGAAATAAATATTTCCCAAGTATTTCTTGATAAAGCATTATTTTTTTTTATTGCTTATTGCCTTTATTTTGTTCCGAGGTAAATTACAATCGCCGTCACACTTTCAGGTAATGAAATGGACTATGAGCATTTATTTGCAGAAAGTGATATTGAAGAATCGGATGTAACAGCTATAGGTCCTTATACAAATTCAGCACATCCTACTGCTTCTGAGAATAATTTTGTTTATGGGAATTATTTAACCCAACCAGATACAACAGCTGATTCACAGGAATACTGGCAAACTGATCTTTTAAATTGTAACATGTGCCAAAATAGACAAGAAAGGAACACCAAAAAGGAGCCTCATACTCGGCAATTGAACAACTCGTGCGAAGAGAGGATGTGTGATAATTATAAAAGAAAGAAAGTTTTGCACGAACGTGATGTGCCAGTCAAACATAAAACGAAAAAAAATGAAGAACAGAAGTTATTGAGCGGTCAACAACCAGATAGTTTGAGTATAGCCGGACCATCTAGATTGTCTGATCACCCTATTTCAAACAAGTATTTATATCATTTCATAATACTTAAGTAATTATTTTATTCTTTGTTATATCATAAACTATTATATTTGCAGCATAACAAGATCAATGGAGAATGCAAGTGTTTTGCAAAATCTAGGAAGTGATAATACCAATGAGTCTGGTAATTTGTATCACTCAGTTATGTCAAATATGATAACTCCTGAAGAAGTGCACACAACTCGTACGTTTGTAGTATTCATAGCACATTGATTATAACTGACTATTGATTGTAGAACAAACTATTAATCTTGTGATTTTAACAGAAAATGATGATCCACCATTGGCACCAGATTTGCAACTAGATTGGTCCTCCAGTAGCGATAGTGATGATGAAGATGGTTCAGTCGAAGTGCTTGGAACTGTTAATCATAATACTAAGGTATGTATATGTTTAAAATAATTATATATGTACATATATGTGTGCGAATGTGTGCGTGTGTGTTATGTACAAATAATATATATATGTTTAAAATTATAAAAAATATTGTATGCAGTAAAAAATTGTACTAAGATAAAGTCAGCTAAATGGATGTTATGTTTAATATGCATGCAACGTTTTAGTACATAAAATTTATTATAAAATTAGCATAAAGCATTTGATAAAAATTTATGAATATCACGAGAACACATTTGGAAAAAAATGTTTTTCAACATTACAGAATTCATTAGAAAATACAAGCGGAGATAATCGTACAGTCACTGTAGTTGATCTGACTGTAGAATCTGATGAAGAGCACACACCGTCTGCGCCAACAAATCCAGCGTCCACTCCATGGTCTGTCACATACGATCTTAATCATGCTCACAGGTGAGCATTATATGTATTTTTCTCTGTAATATCAGCGTAATTTATATGAAATTTTCATTGTTTTCTTATCATCACTGTTTTATATATTGTTTTATATAGTAAAATCTTTCTCTTCTAGAAATAATGTGCACTGTATGCATGGATCGTCAGATTATAGGAATCATGTGTACCACAACAGGCACACCTATCACAATCACAGAGTGTCTGTTTTACATCCAACTGTTTATGGATCTGTAACAGGTATTGCTCCTTCACGTTCAGAAATTTGTCCATCTCTTTACGGATCTGTAACAGGTATTGCTTCTTCACGTTCAGAAATTTGTCCATCAATTGTTCGACAACGAATGTGCAATTAAAAGATATTTGTTTCATTTGCAATATATATATATATATATATATATATATATATATACAACGGTAATAAACTGAAAAACTTTGTTATTGCACACAGATGCAAATATAGGAAATATAGCTGCAAATATAGCGAGACCACGCATGCATCCTATGCAGGAGAGATTGTGGATGAATCAACAGCGCATGCAAGAAGTACACAGGCGTAGACTCTACCACAGATCTCCGTCACATCATGCGTTAGTACCTTTATCGTTGCACAGATCGGCGTAATAGCTTTAACACACATGAAATAGCGGTCGAGCTTCCCATGAGAAATGTATTCTGCGAAACGCTGCATTCTGGAACGGTGCAATTTCACGTGTCAAAGCTATTGCGCCGATCTGCGCGCATCAAATTGTTTCGCCAGAAGATCTGCGTGTTCACGTGTCGCATTTTGTCAACAGTGCGGGTCCGTGCAATGCTCATGTGCACTCGTCGACGCAACACACTTGCGCAGGAGGGAATAGCAGTCCCTCGAACGCGCGATGCAACGGAACGGATAACACGGCGTACACGGAGAATTATCTGACGCCTCCCATTTTACCGCCGCCGCAGCAACCTACCGTCTACAGCCATCCTGAGGCTCGCGGGCCACCCAGTTTCGGATCGCCATGCCCTGTGCTGCCTATAATGGTAATTTAATTCAATGCGCGAATGAAAACCCCCGGTTATCGCATTTCATAATCGTTTTATTTTCCGTCGCCTACAGTTAAATCCGTTGAATGGCGTGGAAGAGATGGAACCAACTTCTCCGGTGTTATTACCCCCGATGCCGGTACACCAGCACGTGCATCATCACATGTATCATTTCGATCCGCACCAACGATCGTCACAACGTCTGCACCACGTTCACATCAGTTTACACGGTTTACATCCTCATTTGGTACGTTGTCTCATCGCGGAATACATCATTTATTCGTGAATTCTCAAAATATATTGCTTTGCGTTTGATCATCATCGTATTTTATATACGTACAGGAATCGAGATCCGGAGCACACGACATGATGCCTTTGGCTTTCCCAGATGTGGTGCTGCAACAAACAATTAGACAACAAGCGGCTCGGTTGGATAATTATATGATGCGTATCGTTGATTTGCGACGCATGGCTCAGATAAGTTGTGGGGCTACGCAGGAGTCCATTGAAAGCCACACATTCCCTCATAAGTATAAACGGGTGAGTGTAAGCGTCCTTATAACGAAAACTGAGTTGCAGTTGTACAAGCGTACGTATATTTGTATGTATATTATATGTTTGTTCGTAGGTAAAAAAGGTCGAAAATGGGGATGATGCTACTGAGAAATGTACAATATGTTTGTCTGAATTTGAAGATTGTGAAAATGTCAGGTAAATGTTCCGCTCTATCGCTTTTTTTTTTTTTTTAATGTAACTATTATATAACTCGAATGAACCATTATGAGTAACAACATTGTATTTTGTTTATCTAGGAGGCTTCCATGTATGCATTTATTTCATATTGATTGCGTTGATCAATGGCTATGCACCAATAAGCGTTGTCCTATATGTCGAGTGGATATCGAAACTTTTCTCCATAAGGAACTCACTACTTCGGCATAGTTTAAGATTTCTCATATCTGCCTCTTTTTAAAGTGTAATCAGGTAACATCTATATGATATCAAATATTTCAAGATGGTCCACCCAGGAGAAAGTGCGCTGGGGTCATCACTACTATGGATTAATGGTGTAAAAATATTATTGATAATCAAAATAATAATGAAAGAACTGAGACGCGGTTCCTTAAGACAAAAAACAGTTGTCGTTCGATTTTATGGTAGATCTAATGATGGTTTTATGCATATTGATAATTATAATTACTCAAGACTAAATTTGTTTATGGTACATTAATAATTAATTAATATTTCTAATTTTCACAATTGTTATATATTTACGTAGGATGGAAAACACAACAAAAAGACATTTCGAAATTATTTGCATAATTCAGTGAGGATAGTTGTAAAATTATATTATGTATTTTGTAAAATACATAATGTAATAAAAAAATATATAAAGTGTACAGTTTGGCAATTTCGAAATTACTTAATTCAATGTCGATATATAACGCTTCTAAGTATAAACATAATAAATTGTATGCGTTCAGTGTATTTCAGCTCTTTTATATATGAGGGTGTTAAAGTTTCTATTTTAAATATTTCATTGACATATGTAAAATTTTGTAATGCTTGCATTAAATTTGTGACTTTGACAAAATTCTAGTATTACATAATATTACATATTGTATTAGAAGCGAACAATGCGAAAATTAGCTTCGTTTCATCTTCATACGTTGATACATACCTATCATATTAAATCCTGATTGATCCTGAATAATATTACCATAGATCTGGATATGCATCGAGGAGTTATTCGAAATTGTTACATATTGCTATCGACAATTGTCCTCTACGTAAGAATGTCGCTATGTTCCTCCAAAATCATTTCTAGTATTTTTTTTTACTTCTTTTAACGAATATATTAATTCAAGCTAAATTAGAATGCAGCGTCAATTGAAATAGTACCGAAAATGATATGACATAGAGTTATATTCAAATGATAATTGTTCATATATTGAATTTCTTCGATCTACTATTACCGATGCTAAGCCAAAGACTTAGCCTAAGTTGTAAGCGTAAAGGAATATCTGAAGCATAGAGTGATTATGTAAGCGATATTAAATTACCTTTTGCCACTGTATCTACAATTACAAGGAAAGGATGATTGTATTGCCAGGCCTTATATATTGTCACATACTCTTGTATATATACGTTCTGTCACATAATAGAATCAAAAAATATTACTGATCTATATTAATCCGTGGTAAAGGGCGAGGAACGGCGGGAGGGATGCACTTTTACCACATTAGTACCTTCAGTATTCAAGTTAATACTGTGAATCGAATAATTTTATTTTGTTAATATGCGATAGGAAAATATAATATATAATAGATAACAAACAACACACAAATATACATCAATCACACACACAAACAATACTACATATTAACAGGATTCCCCGTTGTTGATTTGATATTAAGAGAATGAATTGGAAAGGAAAGTGTATTCTTATTAGAAATTTTCCCAGAATCTAAAAGTTTGATGTAAGTTATATTTTTAAATTGCAGGTATATATGTGTATGTATATATACATACGTACTGCGTTACAGATTTTATCACATCTGAACGCGCGCGTGCGCGCGCGTATCATAACGATCTCATATACGATTTTTGTCATCATTAATGAATGATTGTCATCGAAAATGTTTTATGCACACTGCCATATATAAAAACTATTCATCAGGATTAATTTATTAAGGAAGTGAGTGAAGTATCTTTAACGACTGTTTTATTTTATATAACAGACTTTTAACAGTTGTTTAATCGAGTATATATCTCAATAATTTATCTATTAAAATCTTTAATCCAATTTAAAAGTCTCTAAGATCGTATGTAATGCGTCCTGTTTCAAGGATCGTAAACAAAAAAAATTTGCCATATACAATCAAGTAGTTAGATATGTAATTCGTCTGGGCGACAGCTTATTTTGCAAGATAAGGGCAAGTGGTTATATATATATATATGTACCTCTATATTAATTAATAATTACGAAATATATTGAAAAACAATAATTTTATATACTTTCATAAATAATAAGAATTTATACTGTACATAATAAAATAGGAGGATAATGCGAAATTGTATTGACTTACTGTTGCGACACTTAGAATAAACGTTATATAAAATACATGACTCCTAAAAAATATTATATTTCATTTTAATCAAAACCATGAAAAATTATTCGATCTATATGCCCGCTGTCACTTTCCGTAAACGCTTTAAGAGACGTAAAAGAGACGCTCTCTGACAAATTGTATCATTAAATGCAAATAACACGGGATTGATCGCTGCTCTTTTGTTATCGATGTTATCTCAAGAATCACCACAACGCAATAATACGGAATTATAATTGCACGTTCTGCGGTTATTAAAAATCTTCGATATAATTAAACGCTATTAAGCTCGCTACGCGTATGTACGTCATAAAAAAGACAACCGGGAGTCATTTTCAGTTCAAATGTATGTTCTAGGAACTTCAAACGTATCAGATTATTTGGAAATATGCACGAGAATGCATATCGTAATCGGTCAAAAGGACGTCAAATCGGAAAAAGGTTTCCCCCCGGAAGTTCGACGGTCTCGACGTAATAATTGTAACACCACATTTTCCCTGATGACTCACGTCGGGATTTCGAAAGACTCGATTATTTACCTCGGTTATCGTGATATCGATTCTCCCCTTAAGAGAATATATTAATATATACGTCAATACGAATTTCTTTTTATCTGCTATCTGCGTTACGCACTAATTACTTGATTATATATAAAAAATTAAACAACTTTCTGTCCTTTTATATCTTAATGTTTTTTTCGTCCCGACTCTTCTTCCAGCTTAGTTACTTCCTTAGAATACATGTATTTCTTAAATAAATATAAAGCTTATCTGAAATATAATTAATGATTAAATTTGAGACTTGTTTATATGTGTAATATAAAATATTTAGTTATATATGTGTAATAATTAAAAAAAGAAATATTACATAATTTTAAAGAAGATTTTAAGATTTAAAGATTGATAGAAACAAATTTTTACAGGTTACGAGGACAAAAAGTGAAGAGAAATCGACTATTTTGGGAGCTGTCATTTTTTTAGTCTTTGCTACTCGACAAACACGTTCCAGCGGATTTTCGATTGCCAATATATTTACATAAATATATATGCGGAAGAATTTCTTGTTATTACAACGCACACACACATATACATATGAGTAAATCCCCCGTCTAGCTATGTGACTCTAGCTCGTTAGTCCTACTCAATATAAGGAGAACGTCAAAGCAGGAGCAGTGCAGTTCTCACACGACGTTCGACATCGTTGCAACTCGCGTTTATTAATTCATCGATTGCCGGTGTTTCGGCAAGTTCTTGAGTACTTGAGTGAGAAGAACTCGATTGCATGTGATCACGTGGGCATTAACACACTAATTAAATAGTGAGTAACACTTGAACAAGATCACTTAGTTTTCGTTTTGACCTGAGATAAAATTCGCTATTGTAATTCGATATCACTTTCTTGCCAATTATCGTTATGTGACCGTAAAGAGGAAATAAAAATTGTTATGCGAGATAATGTGCATGTTAACGTATCAAAGAAAAATTATAAAAATTGCTGACGTACAAGAAGTATGAAAAAGAAACATTCAATAAGACTAGAGAAGCAACACACAATTTTACAAAATGAGATCGATTTCTTTAATTTTGTGCTTATATCGGAATTTCTTTGTAATATACGATAGATGTATTCTTCTAGGAAGCTAAAAGTTTAGCGACAGAGTGAAAAATATAATGCACCGATATTCCAGTGATTACATCAACGTCCAAATATCATAAAGTGTCGTTCGTAAAATAATGAAATAACGTGCCCTTTAATATTTCCCAATTCTTTAAGCTTGAATTTAATTATATTAATTATTTTAATCTTTTTAATCTCATTTTGAATTTAATCTTATTAATCACTTTTTTTAGTGTAATTAAAATTTGAATAACCAGCTTCATAAAAAAGTCTTAGTGAAATTAACCCTTTGCAATCGGAATATTTTTAAACATAAGTATTTAGTTCGGCATTAATTAGTTCGAGTCGCTTGAAAAACAAAAGACATAGCTTCATACGATAATTAATTATCGTCATATAAAATTTGTAGAAATAATCTTATTTAAATGAAGTATTAGAATACAAAGAGATAATATAATTTTTATTGAATAAACATTGTATATCGCATCGTGCTGTTTTTTTCAAATCTAAACCGTTGTCATTACCGGGAATATCCTAGTCTCCGACGAGAACGGTAATAATCGCTGTTGGAAAAAACCTTGGACTTTGACCGAAAAGGGAAAAAAACAATTCTGTGACTTTCAGTGCGTGACGACTGCAGAGTCCCTAACGAGATATGATTTTGATCGAAATCGAAGAGTGATTTTATATTTCCATGTCATGTAACTCGTAATTAACTGTGATCATGAAATGAGTCGGAGAATACATTACAACAATGCTGTCATGCTATGTTGTGGATGCGTAATATCATAATCATTCATTATGGGCAATTTGTGTCCAGTCAATGCCATGGCTACCCAAGCAAAACTTATCTTCACACCGAACCGGAACGAGCGTTGAAATCACCGTGTCGCGTCACGGTTTACCGATTTTCTTTCACGATTTTTATTTATATTTACTTATCATTTACCTTATATCTCTCACGATTTTTATTTATATTTACTTATCATTTATCATTTATCTTGCTTCTCTTCAAATGTATAAAGTTTCCACGAAATATGCGACGGTTGCTCAAAAGATGAAGTGTCTCGCGAGGTAACGGTTTCGAAGTTCTCCATATGAGCGCAAAAAAAATGCTGTTGACAGATCAATCTTAAGAGATGCAAATAGATAACGGTATTTAATTGTTCGCCTTTCCCATACGCGTTCTACATTGAGCCACGTCCTAAATTTTTTTTCGTGAATTATAACGAAATTATTGCGATTTGAGAAGTAAACCGATGAACCGGTGTAAGCATGTTGTATATCGCTGTATATATTACATTGTAGTACATACATGTGCATTTTTACGTACAACACAATCGTCATACGTTAAAATAAAGTGATACGGATAAAACATTGATATTTCGTACACGTGCGCGAGACGTGTTTGTCACATATCGTCGTCACATTTGAACGATTACGGTATTACGTATGACAAAGCAATCTAGTAGTGACGCGTTTTAACTTATAAGTGTGATTTTAATGACACTAGGAAGTAGTGTAAACACCGTAGAGAGATCTGAGCATAAAGATATTTTCTCTTCTGAAATCAACGAATGTAATTTATGTTGATGATATCAGGACAACTTCCTGGCATTTTAGTTCCAGAAAACCTCTTGTATTTAACTTTTACGTAAACAACACGTATGATTTTTCTTTACATTTACATGATAATGTATAACTAACGTTAATTTATTTATTAATTCTTTCACACACAATGTACGCGCAGCAATCAGAAGATATATTTAATGATTTTCAGGAACGACGTCTGATTCAAAATGTGGTCCTTAGTCGTCACGCTCGTCGTTGCGCTGTGTGCATTAATACCAACTACGCAGTCTCAAGGTGTGCATTTTTTATTATCATTTCAAGAAACGCATTCAATTATAGATTCCGCTACGATATCGTCATGAGTTTCGTTCGGATCGCTTTCGTACGCTTTCGTGAATTGTAACGAGTCACAAAGTATGCATATTTCAATGTCGGATGAGGAATCTGGTATATTCGCGTATCGCTTAATCGCAAGAGACTATTTAACTTTATAAACATGTATATTGCGTTGTAAGAGTATGTCTTGTATCTTATGTAACCATTATTTGATTTATAATCGTTCAACGATTTACGAGCCGTGCCACTCCAAGCCCGTGATTATGGAAATGAACGGTTCATCAGGCTTTGAAATTATTAATCTCTCATCCTTTCTCTAAATCCTCTCTTAAAAATGTGGTTGAGTCGTCCAATAGAACATAGAATTTGTTTGTAGCATATTTAATTTTCAACTATGGCCGCTCTGTGAAAATACGTTCAGATCATGTAAAATACGCGCAGGAATATGCAGATCCTGCGTCAATTTCCATCCGGAAACGAATCAATCACGTGTAATCAATAGATAGCAATTATGTTTGCTCTTGTAACCGGACGATTCGTCAGCATTCAATAATATGTCACCACAACCGTTCCGGAGTACAAAATCGCTTCAAATACTTCAAAACACTGTTTCTCTCCATCTGGAAGCGAAGCAATTTCGTGCTATATTTGTACCTGCAAACTATTAGTCACCAGCAAATACTATAGTATTTAATAATACGTAACCTCAGTCGTTTTACAACGTGAAATCATGTAAATGGCATATAACTTTACAAATACCTTCTATTCGCGCATAAAACAACGTAAAGCATAAGGCATAAATAATAATTTTATTTTTACACTTCAGTAAAATGGTCTATTTTCATGATCGGATTATAAATAGATTTGCGATGCTACGACTTTCCTCTTGCATTACTTTTACGTTACACAGTTTACCTGGAAATTCGTAGCAAGCATGACGTAGGACTGTCCGAACACGGCCAAGGCTATTCTCCGAATGGAGAGAGTTTCACGTATGACCATCGATGAAGGTTGGCTGAAGGCCGTATTCACTCATTGCGACAGTTTGCATTTCTTCTAGCTGGCTTGATACATCCAAGAAGAAAAGATGATCTGAAGGTCAGGATCAAAATTAAGAAAAGATTCGAAGTCAACAGATGAGGGCTTTTATACAGAATTATTTTTATTACACCTTTGGGAGGAAGACTGTCGCGACTCCAAAGAGTCATTTTCTCAAAACAATGTCGAAAAATCGAATTGAAAATAAAATGATTAACTGGTGAAATTTTTTTCATACGTTGTCATAATATATGAAGTTTATGAGCGTACTAAAAATTGAAGTCATTATTTTTAATAAATTCCGTTTTTAATTTATTATAATTATGTCAAAGATTCTCTTGAATTATAGCAGTCTGCTTCCCAAGATGCGACAAGATATACAATCAAAGATTATGTATTATACACATCCGGGGTGTGATTTATAAGAGACCAGTTCTCTCTTGAAAACATCTATTCAAGGTGAACATATTTCATAATTCTATACAAATTAAGTGGTAATAATTTTCTTCCATTCTCTCAAAGAAAATCATAAGGAAAGATTAACAAGCAAATTATGATAAGGTATAATTACGATTAATTTTTTAGCATCAAAATTACCTAAGTTAGTTAGTAGTAATCTGTAACATACAATTGAATTGAATCGACAAGATTGAAAGAGATTCACCGGATGTGGCTATGTTATAGTCGAGTTCTATTCACGGAAAGCTCATTACGGGTAAAAATTCATAATTATTTGTTACGGCAGACTGCTACGTTTCGCACGTTAATGACATCAATGACGTCATTACTTCGACATCTTTCATGTGAAACGTAGAGTGGATACTGTCATTTTTTCTACGGAACTATATTTACATACCGCCGCTAATAGCATTTCAATGATTAGCGATCACAAATAAATGTTCAGAGTATAATGGTCTATTATGTAATATAAAACACGTCGATTGTAAGAAATCGCACACTTCGCCTTGTTACCCCGGGAAAAGAAAGTTGTGTATAAAATTTGTCCATATATGATTATATATAATTATATATTCACAACGAAAAAATACTGTTGTTTACAAATTATATGCAAATACAATCGAAGTGAACGCTTTTGGCTATTCGTGCTTTTAACAGCATATGATATCGATATTTAATTAAATGACACAATATCATTTTTTTTTGTATAGACATGTATGATCATATACATAATTACATATATAGGCAAAATTTATAAACGATTTTATATAATTATATATAATCATATATAATCATTTTTTCCCGGAACAGAGCAAATTGCAATTACAATTTTTAATGACACAACATTCCTCTAATGGACTGTTTATTCGTGACAAACTTTTGGCGAAAATAAGAAATCGATTCTCACATATATATATTCGATTTTTGCAAAAGATTACTAGATGTAACATTACTTCCAAGTTTCGTGTGTGATATCTGTCAAATTCAAATTCTGATCTGTATGTTACAGCCCCGTGCCAAGATCCACAAGGCCAACAAGGCGTATGCATCAACATCAAGAAATGCCCAGCGTTATTAAATTTTCTGCAATCAAATTCTCAAGATCCTCAAGTACGCAACTACCTTCGTTCTTCCCTTTGCGGCTACGAAGGTACAGATCCTCAAGTCTGTTGTCCGAACGACGAGGGTTCGACAGGCAACGACGTGGACCGTGGAGGTCGGCAAGAAATCACCAGAACTGAGTATGGTCCTCTATCTCCGCCCGAATGCGGTTTCAGTAATGTAACGAAACGTAGAATCGTTGGTGGCGAACCAGCTCCATTAGGTAAGAACATTATCAGCCAATTTTGTATTTCTTTCTTCAAGAAGAAGTCCGAGATCAATAATTTCGACATATTTTTTTTTATTACTTATTATACATAATCACCACGAGATCATTTTTTATATTTTTCTCAGAAAGAATTCCCTGCAAATTATCAGGAAGTCTTATTCGTCTCTTCTCATAAAAAGTACATAAAAAGTACATAAAGTTCCTGTATACTTGGATATGCCCACTGGAGAGATATTATATATTTTCTTTCAAAAATATTCAGCCTCAATAGTTCATAAGATATTGAGAACGAAAGATGTTTTACGGATTATAAGAAATAAATAACAAAATCTTATTTTATATTTAATTTCTAGTCAATTTTGGCAAAATCTTAATGAAATATCAAACGTTGAAAATTCGACAATTAAGGGAGAAAAGTAATTCGGTATTGAGCAAGATAGATTTTACATTCAAAGAAAATATTTTGCAAGGGAAAGCACAGAGCTTCAAGGAAGCAATACAATGAATCGTATCAAATGATTAACGTACTACTTAGATAAGTTACTGGAAAAAAAAATTAAGTTGTCGCGAATGTAGCTTTGGGCGACATTATTGTTGGCTTTTTAAAAAATGCTATCACACATGCCGATGCTAATAATCAAGTTTCGCAGGTGCCTGGCCTTGGCTCACCGCTCTGGGTTACACGAATCCGAGAGATGCGAGTGCCACGAGATGGCTTTGCGGCGGTGTCCTGATTTCGAGACGACACGTACTCACTGCTGGACATTGCGTACACAGACGCAATGATTTGTACAAAGTGCGCGTCGGCGACTTGGATTTGAATAATGACAACGACGGAGCATATCCGTTTGAGGACTTTATTGAGAGACGAGTGATACATCCTCAGTACAATCCGACAACTTACACGAACGATATAGCGGTTCTCAAAACGACTCAAGATGTGCCGTTTACACGTAAGCTTTCCCATTTTGCTATTTAGTAAAATTCGACTATGTTGTAATTGTATACAATTGGAACAATGAGAGATGAAGATTATCTCACGAATTTTGCGAGCTTGTATATTGAGGCTTTAGGATTAGAAATTGTTTGTGAAACTTGCTTCTATCGTAATTGTACAGCGAACTTACTACAAGTTCTTGTAAATTTTTAGCAAACCTTCATCCCATTTGTCTCCCGGTGGATGATTACCATCGAAACAGAGAGTTGGAGGTCACATATCCTTTTGTCGCCGGATGGGGATCAATTTCCTTCCGTACGTAACGTATGACATATAAATCGACGCTAGGCGCAACCTATAAATATTTGGAAACTGATCTTATTTTAATATAATTAGTATATATTGAAATATACATATTTGTTTCATACTACATATATTGGTGTTGCGTAAAATCAGTCTGTATATTTACTAGATTCTTGATAATTTCAATTTTTTTCTTTTAGGTGGACCTACGAGCAGTCATTTGATGCAAATACAAATTCCTATACGTACGGAACAAGAATGTAAAGATGCCTACCAGAACTTCAGGACAACTGTGATAGATAAGCGTGTCTTGTGTGCAGGCTATGCATCAGGTGGAAAAGACGCTTGTCAGGTAAGAAATGAGAAGTCTGGTTTCGAGTTATGTGAGCAGGCTCGATCGAAAAAACACAAGAATAATGCAGACACAGATGGCTATGGATATGTCATGTGTATTTTGATCGTATTTGCTGCAAATCTGTCGGCATGCCGCTAAAATCTTGCTTACTGGGACAATGTTGTTTACTTAAGATTGCGAAATGGTTTTCAGGGTGACAGCGGAGGGCCGCTGATGTCTCCTAGTAATAGAATCCGTGAGATATACCATGTTGTTGGGGTGGTATCGTATGGCTTCAAGTGCGCCGAGCCAGGCTTTCCGGGTGTATACACGAGGGTTTCAAACTTCCTCGATTTCATCACTAGCCAATTGGTGTAACTTAAACTGAGCTTCAACCGATTCGCGCGAAAAGTTAACGGAGGAAAGTTCTCGAAAAGTTCCTTGTAAATTAATTTTTCATGCAGGATCGTGTAGCGGGTATTTTTATCATGTGCACACAACACTCACACAACTAGTTCTCACATCAAGTATTAAAAATAAATTTGCGTCTGCGATGCATTCACAATACTTTCTTTTTTCACCTTGTAACTTATAATCTACATTTATTAATCTATATTTTGTGTAGACTGCATATAGTGGAACTTTGTTTAACAGCTCTAGAAATTTGTTGCCAAGCAGGCTTATAGATTTACCTTGTGATCAACAATATGCGTAACTTTTTCTACTTTGTCACTTAAATCTTTCATTGTAACAGATGGCTCTGCCAATTGTAAATAAATGATTACGTTATAACGTTTCTTTTTCCACAAATGGTTATTAAGCATTTATTAAGCGATCGTGTATGCGGTTCTTGAAGTATTCTCTACCAAAACGGGTGTATGATAAAACAAACGTGTTTTATGTTGGCGAAAAAATTTAATACATCGGAGAATGAAATGTTGTAGGTTCTACATTCACGTTAAGACGTTTATTAATTAGTACAGAATAGACTTAAAGAACAAAGAAGAATCGACTGTTCGAAGAGCTGATATTTTTTGGTCTCTGCTGTTCTGCAAACACGTTCCAGCAGGTTTTCGATGGCCAATATATTTACACAAATGTATGAAGAAGAATCTATTATTTTACAATACACTCACATATAACTAAACCCCCCGTTATGTAACTCTCCAATTATGTAACTTTAGCTTGGTAGCACTGTCTGTACAAGAGATATAAGCAAAACGTCAAGTCAGAGCAATACAGTTCTCGCACAACTCTCGTCGTCGTTGCGATTTACTCTATTAATCCATCAATCGCCGGCAAGTTCTTTTATATATTTGTGCAAAAAGAATCTGATCGTGTGAGCACGTGAGCATTAACATGCTAGTTAAATAGTTAAATAGTGAATTGAACAAGACGTGACGTATTTCCGTTTCGACTTAAAATCGAAAAATTAATATAAAATTCGCTATAATTATAATTTCGATAGCAATTTTTTGTATCGTTATATTTTTTTATATCGTTATATCGTAGATATAAAGAAAAGTCATTATTATGTGAGATAATGTGCATGTTAATCATTTGAGTGATATGCGCGCAATAATGCGTGCCATTAATGACACACGAAAAAGAAATCTAACATAATCTAAATAATCTAAATAACAGATTAAATTAATGCGCGTATTAAACAATGTATCGGGGATTGAGAATTATTTCATTTTGACGTGAAATTCATATTCCTTGACATCGAAAACACAAAATTAGTGACTTTCTAAATTCAATAATATATTTTTAGCGAAGCAATGAGGCAAAATCTTTCTGACGCAACAGTGCACGCGTGTCAAGAGATTAACGTATCAGAGAAAAATTACGAAAACTGCTAATGTATGTTTGCAACGAGAATGAAAAAGAATCACTCAAGAGATTAATATATCAAAGAAAAATTACGAAAACTGCTAATGTATGTTTGCAACGAGAATGAAAAAGAAGCATTGGATAAGACCGTGAGACAACACACAGTTTCATAATACAAGATCAATTTGTTGCTGCTCGTGCAGCTTTTTCAAATCTAAACAAACGGCTGACATTCGGGCCAGTACTATTCTGGCTCACGACGAGACAACGGTAATGATTGCTACCAGGAAAACCCCGAATTTTGACCGTAAAAGAAAAAAAACATTTTTGTAACCTTCAACATGTGACGGCGGTGGAGCCTCTAGCGGGATGTAATTTTTTTGAAATCGAAGCGATTTTATATCTCAGTGACAGATAACTAGCAATTAACTGTGACGTGGAACGAATCTGGAAAATCCACCAATAATGTTGTCACGCTATATCGCGGTAACATAATACATTATCATTCATCATGAGCAATTTGAATTCAGTCAATGCCACGACAAGCAATAAACTCTTCCTCACACCGAACCGGCGTTTGAAATCACAGTGTACGTGTGGCGTTACGGCTTATTCGTTTTCTCCCATGATTTTTATCTACCCTTTCTATCATTCATTTTGTGCCTCTTTAAATGTATAAAGTTTCCATAAAATATATGACGGTGGCTTAAAAGTGAGAGACGATGAAATGTCTCGTGACGTTAACGGTTTCGGACTTCGTGTGAGTGTAAAAGAAATGGTGATGATAGATCAAACTGAAGAATTGCAGATTGATAGAAGGATTGAATAGCTCGACTTTCAGCCTTGTTGTACATCGTGCCATATTCTAAATTCCGTCATGAATTACCACGAAATTACATCGGTTTAAAAAATAAACCGATGAATTTGTAAGCCGTGCATGTTACAATATCGCTATATAATATTATACTGAATATACATATATTTTTATATACAGCACAATCGTCATACATCAAAATTAAATGACGCGGATAACCCATTGATATTTTGTACAAATGCGCGAGATATCTTTGTCACGTAACATCGTTGCATCTGAACGATTATGACATTACGTATGACGGAGTAACCTGGACGCGTTTTAACTCACAAGTGCACTTTTAACGAAACGACGAAATAACGTAAACATTATAGAGAACATCTGAACACAGATTTTTTCTCTTTTGAAACTAACGAGTACAATCCTTGTCGATGGTATTACGACAGTTTGCCGATTGGATCAGAAACTGCTTATATTTAACTTTTACATAAACGACACGTGCGATTATTCTACGCATTTTCGTGATAATATACACTGATGTTAATTTATTTATTAATTCTTCCACAGACGATGTATGTGCGGCAATCAAAAGAATATGTTTGATGATTTTCAGGAACAACGTCTCATTCAAAATGTGGTCCGTGGTCGTCACGCTTGTCAGTGTGCTATATATATTAATACCAACTACGCAATCTCATGGTATGTACTTTTTATTATCATTTTTGGTAACGCGTTAAAAATTCCACTACGATATCGTCATGAGTTTCGTTCGGATTATTTTCGTATACTTCGTCGAATCATAGCTTACATATATTTCAATGTCCGATGAGGAATCCAGTATGTTCGCATATCGCTTAATCGCAGACCATTTAACCTTATAAACGAGTACATTGTTGCGTATGTAACTTGCGTTGCAGTATGCCTTCTATCTTACGTAACCATTATTCGATTTACAGTCGTTCAACGATTTACGAGTTTTTGTGCTATTCCAAGCCCATGATTACGGAAATGAAATATTTATCGGGTTTTGGGATTATTAGGTTCTTGTCCTTTCATTAAATTCTCTCTTACAAATATAACTGAATCGTTAGCAATATGCATTAATGTCAAAAAATGTAGCTGAATAATTAAAATTTAAAATGCTGCAAACAAAACATATCCTGTCGATGTATTTGTTTGCAGCATTTTAAATTTTGAATTATAATAGTTCTGTGAAAAACGACAAATTATGCAGAATACGAAGGAATATATAGATCCTTTTATAATTTTGATACTTCGAATATGTCGAATAATACTACCCCTTAACTAACATTAATTACATGTAACATTAATTATATTATTTACAAATAATATAAACTGTAACATTAAATTTAATTGAGCCGACAGATTGAGGGAGATTCATCGGATGTGACTATTTTGTATTCGAGTTCTGTTCACGGAAAATTTATTACGAATAGAAATTCATAGTGATTTATTACGGCAGACTGCTACGTTTCGCACGTTAATGAAATCAATGACGTCGTCACTTCGACATTTTTCACATGAAACATAGAGCGGATACTGTAATTTTTTTCACGGAACTATATTTACATATTGCCTCTATAATAGCTATACTAGCATTTTAATGATTAACGATCGCAAATAAATATTCAGATCGTAGTCCATAATGCATTACAATAGTCCATTACGCATTACAAAACATGTAGATTGTAAGAAATCACACGCTTAGCTTCCCTGTGTTCACGGCAAAGTCCCATAATTTTTAACGACGCAGTATTTTTATTGAATTGCATATCCGTGACAAATCTTTGGCGCAAATGAGAAGTAAATATGGAAATATATACTTAAATTTTGCAAAAAACTTACCAGACGCATCATTACGTTCAAGATTCGTTTATAACATCTGTTAATTCAAGTTCTCACCTGTTATGTTACAGCTCTATGCGAAGATCCACAAGGCCGTCAAGGCATGTGCGTCAATATCAAAAGATGCTCAAGGTTATTAAATTATCTGCAATCAAATCTTCATGATCCTCAAATAGGTGACTACCTTCGTTCTTTCTCTTGTGGTTTCGAAGGTTCAGATCCTCTGGTCTGTTGTTCAAACAATGGAGGTAACGACGTGGACTATGGAGATCGACAAAAACCCCTTACAACTGAGTACGGTCCTCTGTATCCGCCCGAATGCGGCTTCTCTAATGTGTCGCAGCACAGATTCATTGGTGGCGAGCCGGCTCCATTAGGTAATAACGTTGCCTGCTTTCTTTCATATTTTTTCCATAAAGAAATCCGAGATTAATAATTTCGACATATGATTGAATTAATACGAAACGACATTGTCTCATGGAAAAATGCATTACGGATAATTTAATTAGATGTAGCTATCGTGATAAAACATTAAAATGTTATTTTTAATCAACGCTATCACATATGCTGATGCTAATAATCAAGTTTTGCAGGTGCTTGGCCTTGGATCACCATTCTGGGTTACACGGATTCGCAAGATCCGAATGCCACGAGATGGCTTTGCGGCGGTGTCCTGATTTCGAGACGACACGTACTCACTGCTGGACATTGCGTACACAGACGCAATGATTTGTACAAAGTGCGCGTCGGCGACTTGGATTTGAATAATGACAACGACGGAGCATATCCGTTTGAGGACTTTATTGAGAGACGAGTGGTACATCCTCAATACGATCCCACAACTTACACGAACGATATAGCGGTTCTCAAGACGACTCGAGATGTGCCGTTTACACGTAAGCTTTCCCATTCTGCTATTCAGTAACACTCGACTATGTTGTAATTGTTCGTATAATTGAAAGAATGAGAGGTGAAGTATAGTAAATAAAATAGTAAAGTAAAAGAGATCAAGATTATCTCATTTTGCGAGCTTGTATATTGAGGCTTCGGGATTAGGAATTGTTTGTGAAACTTGCTTCTGTCATAATTGCACAGCGAGCTTACTACAAGTCCTTGTAAATTTTTAGTAAAACTTCATCCCATTTGTCTCCCAGCGGATAGTCATCATCGAAACAGAAATTTGTCGGATACATTTCCACTCGTCGCCGGATGGGGATCCATTTCTTTCCGTGAGTAATGTGTAAAATAAATCGAGGCAAAACACAATTTGTAAATACCCAGTAAGCAATCTGTTAGCAGTCTGACGACAGATTGGCGACAGTTTCGAGCAGGACCTACAATATGTTTCATTTAAACGATTAGATCTTGCTCGGTCTTGCTTCTGCCGTCAGTCTCATCATAGTCTGTCATCAGATCCTGTTACATTTCTGCCAGCAAATTGCTGAGTTTGCAGCACATGGTGTGTAAAATTTGTTTTTGCAGGTTTGGCTATCTGGGTATATGTGTATAACCGGAGATTATGTATATGTGTGTGATTTTATTGTAACATAATCAGTATATATTGAATGAAATTATCATTTTTATTTTATGCTATATATACTAGTTGTATATGCGATAATCAATTTGCATATTTATTAATCTGCATATTTTTTCTTTCAGATGAACCCATGTCCAGTCATCTGATGCAAATACAAATTCCTATACGTCCGGTACAAGATTGTAAAGACACCTACCAGAACCTTGGGACAACTGTGACAGATAATGATTTTTTGTGTGCAGGCTTTAAAATAAATCCCCGAAAATATCAGGTAAGAAATGACTCTGGAATTTGTAATAGAAAATTATTAAGAAGATTCTGATCCCGAATTATGTGAGCAGTTTCTCGACGAATCACAGTCTTCATGCAGATACGCACAATTGCGTTACGATATTTTAATCGAATCTGTTGCCATCCTACTTTCATATTGCTAACATGTTGTTTATTGAAACAATGCTTTTTACTTAATATGCGAAATGGTTTCTAGGGTGACAATGGAGGACCATTGATGTCTCCTAGTGACATAACAAATGGTATATATTATGTTATTGGGGTGCTATCTTATAGCTCCAATTACACTAATCAACATCCTCGTGTATACACGAAAGTTACAAGTTTCCTCGAATTTATCACCGGAGAAATGGTATAAATTAAACTGATATTAAATTGATCCACGCGAAAAATTAACAGTGGAGTCTCGGAAAGTTCGTTGTAAAATAATTTTTCTTATGAGATTGCGATAACCGCGTGTATTCTCATACACATATAGACACACACACAACTACCCTCTCAAATCAAGCATTAAAAACAAATTTGCGTCCGTGATACACTCAATGCTTTCTTTTTTACTTTGTTACTTAATCTACATATGCGAATCAATATTTCGTGCGGAATGCACATTGCCGAACTTTTATAACAACTCTAAAAATCTATTGCCGAGAAGGTTTATGTAGTTACATTGTGATCAACTCTACGTTATTTTTTCCACTTCGACGTTTGGAACTTTCGTCGTAACATGTGACGTTGCCAATTGTAAATAAATAAATAATTACATTACGTTATGATATTTATATTTTCCAACGAAGATCCAACGTATTCAGTTAACACCTCATACGTTTGAATTCTCGATAAAACTCGCGCATATCGTCGCGACATATTTGTAAACTTAGCTTACCGACGATTGATCTCTTCGAATTATCATCGCAGCTTTTAATCACGTGAAGTTACCTACGATTGGAACTTTAATAACGGTCGGTAATAGGAATACTTATCGACGGGCAAAACTCGATTTCTCGTCTCGATTTTCGGTGGAGCCAATGACGCTTCGTGGACGATTTGAGAATTTCCTGTTGGCAAAATCGCCGTTACATCAACGAATGAAGCAAGTGGTGCTCTCTACGAAAGAGGTAGATCCCACGGTAAATGCGGCATACCGCGTGTAGATCAGGTACGAATGCATTTACAAACAGGTAAAAATTAACATCGAATGAATGTAGTATTTATTTGAGGATCATACATTAATTATATTGCGGATTACACATTATCCGTGCACACGAGCTGTTTGCGAGTTTATACTTGCCGGCAATTTCTCACATTTGAACGCACATATCGACAAACAGATTTTTCGGTTGAAAAGAAACCAGAATGAGAATTGAAGCGTTCCGATTCTGTAATCTGCATGATCCTCAAATAAACACGATATATTTGTTCGAAATCGCGTTCATTCGCATTCGTATTCGCGGCCCAGATGCCCTTCATTTTTTAGAATCTTGCAATAACGGTTCGTCCCGTCTTTTGTCTCTTTCCTTTTCGTAGGAATGACGTTTCTCGTCTGTTAATCGATCGCGTTGCGATCTTGAAGTATTTTTTAATAAAGTAGGTGTATAATAAAACAGATGTGTCTTGTGTCGACGAAAAAGTTTAATACATCGGAGAATGAAATGTTACAGATTCTACACTTATGTTAAGACATTTATTAATACAGAATAGCCCATCTCGTATATACTATAATCTTACGTAGGCGTGTAACAAAGTTTATTAATTCTATTAACCAAAAACCTGAGAATATAACAATCATAATGGAGTACAACTTCACCGTCATACGGTTTCTAGCTAAGCTTTATTTTATGATACATTTTCTTTTCCTTCCGTTTATTTTAGTCAACCGACGTTCAGGATAAGAATGTACTGCACTCGAGAAGACATTATAAATAAACATTATCTTTTATAGAAGCAATATAGCGCAAGAAAATCGGAGCACCATTAATATTTCACACTGCTTTTTACAACGCTGTAATAGTTGCATCGCTTACATTATATTATCTTATCACATAAATTATTTTTAATTATATGTATATACATAAATTACGTTTCTTAACAAATTAAGTCGACAGAACACGCAACAGAAGTCACAGGAATACGTAAAACGTTACCAATTCCTCGTAATTTCCTCGTAATTTTCGAGCACAGTTTTTAAAGCGGTTCCACAATCGATTGTATTCCGTATATTGTATAACAATATATGGAGAATACATTATTCATCACGGAAACTCAAGGATAAAGACGTTTAATTAATTTTCAAGAAGAACAACAGAAAGGGACTTTTCATCCTTCTTCTTAAAAAAAATTTCTTATCAATGTATCTTAATAATTGCCTTGCGTTACACCGATGAAAAGTACACGTTTTAATCGCTAAGACTTCTGTGATCTACAACGACATGGTAAATAAAGCAGTCGGATATGCAACGTAAAGCGCGCGTAGTTCGTTATTTTTTTCTAAACTCCGCAATCGCCAGTCTATATGAATTCGTGCAGCTAGAATTCAACTTGAGACTGATCGGTATGTGAGACTTCATCGCCCTTTTTATCGGGGAAACGCACGGATGAAAAATTGCGGGGACTGTTTGGAATTGTTTGATTATTTAGTTAGAAGGAATAACATAATTATGGAGCTTTCACAGGATTTATAGTGGATTATGAATAATGATGACTAGTGGACAGTGATACACGCAGGGCTTTGCAAGTGGAATTTTCAAAAATCAGCAAAAGCAAATTAAACGTTTCTCTGACTTGCTCAAAAATATTCAGATATTGAATTTCTACTAGAATGTCAAAATATAAATAAGAAAATAGTGAAGTACGTTATAAATATATTTATGACATACAAATTATTACAAATGCTATTATAAATAAAATTGCACAACAATCTAAGTATCAATATATTTACATGGAACAAAAAGTATCTGATTGTTAAAATCAGAAAATATAATTTGACATTTTGCAGACAATTTTCTCTAAAAATTTCGGCAGGGAAATAATTGATTTTTCATCAGCAGTAATGTCGAAATCATACCTTTACGTTAGATATTTATTGAAACAACTGAACGACTTTTCTCATTTTAAGCGTTAACGTTATACATAATCGGGAGGACGAATCGACGGAAATTTACGGTCTCTTAGTAGAGATTTCGGAAATCTTTCATATTTTTTTTCATTTTGCCGCTGGTTACGCGTAAAAGAACCAACAAACAAGTCTTGGGAAGCTGCGAGTTCGCTAGTTCTGGCGATATTCGCGTGGTGAAACGCAAATGTTCGTTTCAATTGATATATTTCTCCATCTGGTACATATCGACTAGCAGACGCGAAATCGGTATTTCCCCGATGGTTTCGTGAAAGAACAGACGCTCCACGGTTTTGGAGGAGACGCACCTGAGGTATCCGACCAGTATCATCAGCCTCCCGATTCTGCCTGGCTGCTGCGGATACCGCGACCTCGTATAATCCACTAGGATGCGTTGTGCCTGATCCTGCAGTATTTCAATAGGCTGAACCGCGTGCAACCCCACCGTCTCTGCGGTTTAATAAAAAAAGGTGACGTATACGACGTTGATTAGTATTTTATCTCTTCATGTGACACAGGAACAAATAAACCATATTTTAGTAACAATGTAAATCGTTGTTCAAGATAATACAGTAATAAATCAATGTAAAAATAACAAAATGTAAGCAAATAAGTGATAGAGAAATATTTTGTGAATATCCAAGTGTCCGGAAAAGTCAGTTACGAGAGAAAGATTATGATAAATACTCAAAAATATTTATAATAAATATTTTCCATAAGTAATTAAAACATGGTTTTGTTTAAGTGAAATCATGTTTTCATTTATGAAAAAATATTCTTCATGAATATTTTTGTAAATATATTATAATCTTTCTCATATCTTACTTTCCCGAATATTTGAATACTCTGTATATACAATTGTACTATGCACAATTAACCCCATCGAGCCTTAAAAGTGCGCTATATTCTTACCTGGCGTAAACAAAGCCACTGCCTTCATACAGCCGCACTCGCCGAAGTCGGGGGACAACTGCCTGAATCGGCATATTATCGCCTAAAACACAAGAGAATATTCCGTTGAGGCAAGCTTCTCCGAAGCCTTTTGAAAGCTGTGAGCGAGAAAGAAGCACGGGAGAAAATCCGCGAGGATCGTCGCGATTCACCGCGAACGGAGGCTCGACGGACCTGAATAAGAACGAGTTCCTGATTCGTCGGGTTGTCGTCCGCGGGAAGCCTGCTGCGCACTTGCTCGTCCTCGAGGAGCGCGGTTATGTCCCAAGAGATGGACCACTGCGCCAAATGCAGAAGGAACAGTTGCGTCCAGGATCGTTCCAGCAGCAACAGCTGGTCATCCTTCGATATCGTCTGGAAGGGTGGTAGACATCGCACCCACCTAACAGCCATGAATAACAGCCGAGCCGTTGTTTCCTGCGTTATCATCAATGTTCACGGATACGTGTAATGGATGTGTATAACGGATGGAATATCGTGAGAAGAGATTGAAAACGCCCAATGCTACCTGCAGCATCTCCCAGGTCGGACTGAGGCTCTGTATCGTGCCCGTCGGACTGTGACTCGCTTCTGTTTCCATCTGCTCTATCGGGTACTCCGTCGTGGGTTGCAGTCGTGCGTTCCAAACCAGTTCCTTGTGGCAAAACAAGGTAAATATTTGTACAACAAGTACGGTGCAGTACAGTTCTCACGAAGAACTAAAATACAAAGTACCGATAATTAATCTAAGAGCTTGCTCTCTTTACTCGTCGCCATGCAAACCAACGAGACTATATTTTGCCGAGGACACTCGTTGAAAGAAAAAGTGATACATTCGAGTAAATATTTTACTAAGGAGTATTGAAGTAATTATTTTATTTGGATTAAATAAATATTACTTGAATGTAGCACATTGAATAAAAAAAAATTCAATGTTTACTCAATCCAAGTAAAAGAATTACCTCAATAGTTCTTAGCGAATATTTACTTGAATGCATTTCTTTTTCCAGTGTGGATACAATGCTTCATTGATCACTTTTATTTATACAACTAGTAAAATACATCGCGATTATTCCTCGACAAATTTACGATCTCGACATTCTTTGCATCAACTTCAGTTTTTTTAATTCCAGCCAGAGCGCGAAATTAATAGTTTCCGAGCATTTAATCTTAATTGACAGCTATGAGATAAATAAGCACGTCGCAAAGATATTTACATTTCGCGGAAGACTCGCTGTTATCTAATAATACGCTGTGTGTAATTTGTCGACCGCAGTGAGAGAAGTTGAGCAGTCCGACTGTCTTTATTAACTTTGCAGGAGCGGGGAGCGCGCGAATTAAGCTGAATTACTTACCTGACATTCCTCGGCGGACATTAGTATCTGCAGAAGGGAAGGCTGCGACGCCAAGGAGACGGTCGTGGCTGTCTGATAGAGGGTCGTGGTCGTGCGAGGGTGCGGTAGGACCAGCGGTACGGGGGATGGTGATTCCTCCGGCGGTTTCTGTACCAGCGCCATCGGTCGTGGGTAAGGCGTGAATCTTTGGTCGCACCTTAACCTTCTACAGTAATAACCCTTAACTACTTAACGAAGAGACTAAATCGCTTTGAATAATTTTATCGTCGCCTGTAGGTTACGCACACGCGATGTGTCTCCCCGTCGCTACCTCATCGACTCACATTCAAGCCGTATTCTTTCGATAATTTTAAATGCGATCGCTATCCGACGATCTCCTCTCGACGAAAACGTCGCGAACGTAGTGTCGTTTTACACGAATTGTCGATATGATTGATGCGACAGCAACGGGGCATTTTACATACTACACAAAGAAAAACGTTTCTTTAGATTCGCTATTTCTATTTATTTGACTAAAATTTGTCTCATAGAAACAACATATGTTTACGAAATACGAAATATTATTTGTTTGAGTAAAAATTTTATTATCTCATTCAAGAAAACTTTATTACTTAACAGGAAGAATTCTATTATTTGAAATATCTTTTAACCAAATAAAATATTATTTGGTTATACGATGAAACAAATAATTTCTTTATAAGAAAACTATCTTTCTGTTTTAAGTAAATTTTTTATATAAGGTAAAGATATATTCGTTGAAAAGTCTAACAATCGTACTTATTAATCGAAACATTAGTTTCTTCGGAGCATGCCAATGATGAAATTTGTTTGGATGCAATAAAATTGATTAACCCTTTTAGTACCGAGCAAAAGTATCGTACCTATGCGAAGAATACTGATCCAATTTGACGAATTTGCTAAGGTTTGGGAAAAGCTCATAAAAACCAAACTAAAAATGATATTTACAATGATATTCAAAAAGCAGCATATTACGAAATAAAGAAAGAATAAAGTAATGCCAATTGTATTCCAATATTTGTTGAAAATCATACGAATAACATCAATATAAAACATGATGAAAAACATAGAAACAAGTTTCTCTTCTACAAACAATATTTGCACATAAGAATAATCATCGTTTGATCACAGTTTTATGTAGATCACGTAATATGAAGTATAAGTATTACATTTTCAATCATTTTTAACAAAATAACTAATATCGGACCTGAGAACGAAACTGTCCCGTGTCGAGTTTCTACCTTATCACTCCTGCGTATACAGAGCCTCGGCACCAACCAGCATAGAATATAACAAAAAGTTAAACCCAAAAACTATTTTTTTAATTCTTTTGCAATGAAATTAGACCGTTTATAACGTTTTATAAATTTATTTTGAGATAGAGCTTTTTCGCAATGTGAATAGTAAGACGCTCTCGGATACGCGACGATATATCGTCATTGGTACTTTTCGCAAATGTTGACGATATATCGTTGTTTGGCTCTAAAAGGGTTAAATTTGAAGAAATCTTCTTCTCAGTGTACGATCTTGCCTTTATAATGAAAATGAGCATTTGCATTTGCAAATTAGAATAACTGATCGTAAGAATGCATCGAGATCTAATTAGATGTTTCTCGGCTGGTTGCAGTATCGCGAAATATCCGTTTCGTGCTTTAGTCACGTTTCTTGTCTGATCGATTGCTTCTAATAATCACCATGTCATGCATGAATAATTCAAACTACGCGTCTTGGGGGAAGGGGGGGGGGGGTTCTATTTGATAAGACAAATCTTTTAATTGAATGAGTCAATTAAGCAAACGTTACACACCTGTGTGGTGACAGAACATACGGGGGAGCGAGTGCTGGTCTTAATCGATCATTGTGCACCGGAGCCCCAGAATGGGGGGACAATTGTGTGACAATCGACGGCTGTTGCTGATGTTGCTTCTCCGAGATAATCGAGTGGGGCTTCGGTTTCCTCGGTCCGCGCTCATGTTGCACTGCTAAACACCAGTTATGACGTATTTATATTACTTTTGACGTCTGACACCTCGCTTCGCGATCACACGACGGAAGGTCTCTGTGTTCGAGCTTGGTTGAGAAAGTTTGCACGATGCCAGCAGCAGTTAATTCGCGAGAATGAAAGTTCAAAGAGTGACATTTTCCATCGTGAGAAAAATATTCGCATCGTCGGATCGTTAAAACCGACCGAATTATACGAATTTTTAAGAGACCGGTCACGTAAATAAGCGGCACCCTCGTCGCGGCACAACGAGAAATTTCCCTACGTCCCCGACACCCTCGCCCTCCGGCCTCCCGCGTGATCGAAAGTCCATCTCTAGGACCGCCTATCAATAATATCGGCGATGGACTTAACGGTGGGAGCGAAAAAGTGGGCGCAGGTTGCGCGGAATTGAATTCGGGGTATAACGCGCGTTGTAGGTCGTTCGAGATGTACGAGAGCTGTATATCCCGCGAGCCGGGGGGAGAGGGGGAGAGGGGACAAGAGGTCGACCGACAGGAGAGGACGGGAGAGCGGGGGGACTGAATCGCGGATGAAAGAGGGTGGTGTAGATCGGATGTGGTGGCTGGCCGGGCGTCAGCTTCCACAGAGCCCGATCTTTCGAGCGTGGCTGCAAGCCCAGAGAGCGAGAGGAAGAGAGAAGGGCAGAGACGGAAAGAGAGAGAGAGAGAGAGAGAGAGAGGAAGAGGATGCCGGGAGAGTGCGATGGAGGACGCCGAAGGGGTGGAAGACAGATAGAGCGAGATGGCGAAGCGGGAGCTGCAACTGGGTGGCAAGCACATCATCATTAATGAGGCTGAGCGGATAGCAGCCGCGGATTCCCACGTTCGCACTGGCGTCGCAATATCTCCCCTTTATCACGCATCGCCCCGCCGGGAGGTACTTCGCCACTGGCGCAACGAGAATTTCTTCAAGACGTCGTCGTCGTTTTAACACAAGAATCGTTTTCTCGACCGCTAGAGTGAGCCTCACACCTGAATTTCACCGGTGCGAATCGCGAAAAGCGATTGAATTCATTTATTGATCAAGATGACGCGGTGCCTTGCGTTTCCGTACCTCGAATCGCTCCGGTATATCCTACGGATATCCTGCAAATATTTTATACTTTGCTGCGCTTCTCATCTGTGTATCTCGTGCGGCGATTATTTTATATTTGCTTTGTAAGCAGATTGTGAAACCAATCGTGTGTAAAATATTAGTATTATTGTCCGTATTTTCGAAACAACAGAAATCACCTCTGATTTGGCAATCAATGTCGTGCCGGGGTCAACGGGGTCACTTATCGTGCTGTTGCGATGCGTTGATAGACAATTTCCAGTTCGATATGCGCAATCGGGTTTCGAAACGAGGCGGCGGTTTCATATGCGAAAACACGCTCGTATGTGGCAAAAAGAAGCGAGACGAAATCCGCTTCGGGGTTGTTTACTTTATCGACCAAATTGCCCGTGTACATCGTAACAGGTAAAAATATTATTATTTTCCAGGAGTAATTGTTCTCCCAGCGATGTTCTCCCTTGCTGAAAAAACGCGCTCCCTACAGATTTGTTTGCTTTATAAACAATGATCTTTACGTACAATGTGGGGCGATATTACTCTTCGCCGCGAAAAGAAAACCCTCCAAACCCGTCTCCGCGATAATTTCGTTATTTTCTGATCACGCGAATATGGCTATTATATAAATATATAATAGACGTTGAAGATTTTCGTGTGGAGATGCACGATAAAAAGTGTTATATTAAATTTAAAACATTTCACATGTCCCAAACGGCCCACACAAATTTTCGTGTTAATTTAGCACAAGGTGAATATGTTGAAAAGCAACACAAATGTCATATCAAAAATTAACGTAAAATTAATATGTTAATCGACACTGAAGTATCAAATGTGCTATTTTAACACTTACACAAGTTAAATATCGACTCAACACCAAGTTTTGAGATGACATAAACACAGTATGTTAAATAAATTAACACACGGGTACATGAAAAATTCAACATAAACATTTTAACAAGGACTAATTTTAACACAATTGCAAAATATTTTCTACTGTGCCTGAATAATAGCTATATTTTTTAACGGAGTTTTTTCTTTTAACAGATGTAGAATTTGGAGAAGCGTCACCAAGATACGACAGTGTCTGAGCAAGTTCCAGCTGAAGACACGCGCCGTTTCCATCGCTCTTTTTACGACGCATCCGATATATTCCCGTATAATCGTGCATTCGCGAGGCATTCGCGCAATGCTCGCCAAACGGCGCAGATTTTAAACGTTATCGGCTTTCACCCTGCCACGAATCAAAGACGAGAAGGAACGATCTGTTTTTCACAGCCACGGAGGCCATTAAGCTCGCCTTTTTCGCGCAAAAGCTCCTTCGCTTTACGCGGCGTCTCTCGCGCGATCGAGGAGGAACAGTTTGTCGCTCTGCACGCATCGCTGCTCAAATACAGAGCTTTATAGCTGAGCAGCTTACAGCTCGGCGAGGCGGAAACGGATGTGCATGGAGGGAAAGCTCCCGAAGCATAGAGAAACGAAAGGCATCGGACAAATTGATCTCTTAGCGAGGAACGAGTGAGCATTAATTTGAAATTTATCCCGGTCTCTCCGTCAGCCACTCGCTCGCCACTGTTGCGCCCGCATCCGCGATTTCGTCGTCCGGAAGTAAAGTCTCGGAGAAAATGGGACACCTTCTCCGATATATCGCAACGCTTAACATTTCGCAATATCTCGCAATCTGTCATCAGGAAGAACTCGTGAAGAGATTCGTTGGTCCGAGTCTATTGAAATTAGGCGCAACTTAATGCCCTCGGCTTTAACTCCGCCCTTTCTTCATCTGTTTTCAGGAAGAAGTGGGTTAAACCGTCGCCGCCGGGACGAACCCTCGAATTTCTCGCGTGTCAGTGGCTTGAGACGAGCGATTTTCGTGCGTGTCCGGACGGCGAATGGACGCCGGCGGGGATTAGAATCGCATGCGCTGGAATGGACCGCGCCCTGTTCCCCTTTTCATCTCGTGATTCCGCTCTTTCTTTCTCCCTTTCTCTGCTTTCACCCTCTTTCACTTCTCGCTCGTAAGCGCTCGCTCGCGCGCGCGCGCGAATCTTATCACACACACCTATAAACAGACGCCACCGTAATACTCGGCCGGCACGTGTGGTCCACAATGCGAGTTCCCACAGAGTGGAGAGGCGTGGGCGTAGACCTTCTCGACATGTTTAGCACACGCACACACACACACACACATGCACATATATATATACACGTATGCATGTTCATTGACAGGCGGACGCGAGTGATGTGATACAATGCACGGGGAAGTTTCCGCTTTAACCTTGTTGTACTACACGCTCCGCGTTGTGTGCGACGTGGGTGCGTACGTGCGTGCGTGGGGCACACAGGGTGCTCACACGGGCCACGGATCACGGGGCTCACACTCTCTATCCTGCTAAACGGTAAACCGATCTGTGAACATTTCAGCAGTCAGCGATCTCGAAGGCTAATCCCCGAGCGAGTGGGGTGGTTGATATACATGGACGGTGCACCACCACCGGCGGGACGCATCACCATCACCAACGCCAACGGTATCACCGATACGTCCGGCGATCGTCAGCGTCATCGCCGTCGAAGGAGAATGGGGGTGATTCGCGAATCGCTTCTTGTCGAATACGCGTGTAGGATACGGCGATACACGTGTTAACACTTCAGGGAGATTTTCGTGTCTATCTGAGGGATAAACGTCGGGGGACAAAAGTAAGCCCCCTCATAGCGCGATGGCTATTTTAATTGAATTCAAGATTTTCATAAGCGACACTTTGATTTCCCCTCGAATATCGTCGGTGTGATGTCGATGTTACCGAGTGGTCTCGTGTGTGTCGATCCTTTTACCAACAGAAATTTCAAACGAGCGCGGCCCGGATAGAAATGTATCGGCCTGAGTAAAAAGCTACACGGTAAGAAACATTTTGTACTTGTGTTAAACTTTCTATCAGGGGCAATGTCTCCGCTGAATTTTAATTTTGAACGAGCAATTCTCATGAGAATCGAATTGAGAAAAATTCGAAAAATTCCACATGTTCCAGGGTCGGATTAAGAACAGATTGCGACAGATGGTGACTACTACGTCTGGTTGAAGTTCGCCGAGGGAGAAACTACTGGCAAATTTGTAGAAAAATTCGCAAAAGGAAAGAGAACATTGCGTACACGGGCCGCACAGACCGCACAGGTTAGGGTCTGTTTCCACTCGCGTCGTTCCCCTCCGGAAAATCGCATGCATGCCGTCACACGTGTACTCGCATACGTTATAAACGACCCGTATGCGATCCGCATGTAACATCGTCCGGTTGCCCAGTTATCGCCTTCCCTGGATCAATCTCGTGAATCAAAATTCCGTGAAACAAGATCAGCCTGTATCGCATATAAAATACATATGCATAAAGCGAGGAGGAGAGCAACGGCCGCGCGGCGCGCTTTAGAAAACGTTGAATTAAACACTGCGTCGATATTTACGCGAATACGTACATATCGACTCGCGCGTCATCACGTATCTTTTCCGTTAAATTCGCGAGAAAAAACCGAAGCTCGAAGTTCGATTGAAGTTAGATCAAACAAGCCGTTTGAGGAGATGTTAACAGCCCGAGATGCGAAAATACTCGTCGGCGGTGCGTAATTGCGCGGTCAAAGCGGTGAACGTTTTTCTTCTTTTCTGCCGGAAATATACGAGGCATTTCGCGCGGAACACGGCGAGAAGAAGGACCGAGAGCAAGCCTATTTAAAATCCGTTTCGCACGGTTTGCGACTTTGACAAAAAGCAGGCAAAAAGTTTAAGCGTATTTCCGCGCGGCTGGGAGCGCCAAAGAGAGCATTATGAGGAAGAAATCAAACGCGCGCGCGCGCGACACGAGACCAAATCTGGTTCGTTTTGCGATCGCGCGCTTTTTCCCGCTGTAACACCGCTGTCCGGGGAAATGGTCGTGCCGTCTCGCGCGC